TTTTTTAAAGTAAAAGATTTTTTTTATTTGTTTTATATGTCCAAATATGTTTTTATATTCATAGAGTTTCTTAAAAGACTAATTTTGTTCTCATTGAGTTTATTTCTGTTCATTGACGCACAAAATCAGAATGACTACTTTATTGGGACGCAACTTATTTGACTTTTTTCTAAAGTTAATATAACAAGATATTTTATTCTTTTATGAAGGTCAAAGACCTGGAGGTAACCCACTTTCTCCTGGCGGCAGAGGACCTGGTGGTAACCCACTTTCTCCTGGTGGCAGAGGACCTGGTGGCAACCCGCTCTCTCCTGGTGGCAGAGGACCTGGTGGTAACCCACTCTCTCCTGGTGGCAGAGGACCTGGTGGTAACCCACTTTCTCCTGGTGGCAGAGGACCTGGTGGCAACCCGCTCTCACCGGGTGGCTCAGGACCTGGTGGCAACCCATTATTCCCTGGTGGCTCAGGACCTGGAGGCAATCCATTATTCCCTGGTGGCAAAGGACCTGGAGGCAATCCATTATTTCCTGGTGGCAAAGGACCTGGAGGCAATCCATTATTCCCTGGTGGCTCCGGACCAGGAGGCAATCCATTATTCCCTGGAGGTTCAGGACCAGGTAAGGTTTTAGAATATTTTCTAAAATAGAAAGCATTTTTGACGCTATTTCTGAATATGCAAATATTCAAAGTTTGCTCAGTCTTTTCCCTCTTGAAAGATATTATTATGATTATTTTTATCACTAAAAGTTATTTGCAAGAATGTTTTAAAATTTTCAGGTGGATTACCAGATTTCACTTCCCCACTTACGATCCAATTCTTATTCCCTAACGGAAAGCCAGATCTATCAAAATTAGGTATGAAATTTAAATTCTTCGAAAAAAGCTTTTTATAATACATTTTGCTACCTTTTTTTATTCAATCAATTCCTTGAACTCTTTTTTTTTCCACTACATAAATTTGTTATTTCCCTATTTTAAGAAAGAAGTTCACTTCTGTTTAAACTAAAATAGAAAATCATATATATTTCAAATGAAATAACAAGCTATTATTGGTACTATTATTATTATTAATAGTTCAAAATAACAAGTTTTTTTTTTCTTAAAGATAATTGTTTTGGTTCAATTATTATTTTTATGGAAAAAATTCTACTTTTTTTTTTTATAGGAAACTTGTTATCACCCTCAACACCAAACAGCATTCCTGACTTGACTGACACAAGTAATTACCTTAAAACTTCTACTAATTAAGAGTTTACATAGTAATGCCTCAGTTTAATGTAATTCTTTCGAATTGTTTTGAGTCATCAATTTATCCAAAATCCACGTTATTGTATCAGGCATATTTTTGCGGTAATTTAAATTTGGACTTGAAACATTTCATAAGATGCATTGAGTTTATTTTTGAATTTAGAATACGTGAATAAGTAGCCCGAACAGCCACCTCCCTTATAGTTTATAGTAAGCAGTATTAAATGAGTTCAAACGAAACGTTAATCAATGTTTTAGACTCATAATGCATTATAAAAGATGAAATCGACTAGGTTTTAGTTTACTATTGTTTCCTTTACTTTACTCTTGGTCTGAAGCTTACTAAAATGTTTTAATTGCCTAGGTGCTTAAAAATGGATAAATTTAAAACTCAACAAAACTGATATTTATTTTCCTGAAATTTCCATTACATCTTTAAGTATAATTTTAAATCCCTTTTAAATCGATCATCAGTTTTTTCTTTGGAATAGTAGGATACCAAATTTTGTACACGCATATGTACACAATAAATCAATTACTAGGAATTTTTTATACTATTTTTAAACTTTTGCATGAGAAATTAGAGGGTAGAATGCGACATTTCACTACCTTGTTTGAAGTTTTAAGAGAAGTTCTTCAAACTATTTTACGTTAGCAGAAATAACAGCTGTATTTGTATGTCATTATGTTCTGCCGTATTTTAAACATATTTTTCTTATTAAATTAATACCTTCTAAACTTTTTTTCTTAACAGAACTTTATTGCATTTTCTTTTATGAAAAAAGTCTAAAAAATTCAATGTTTTAATATATGCATGCCTCAATAGTGAAGTTGATGATTTATTAGATCTTACATAATGATTGATAATATTAACTTATCATGCAATTTTTAACTTATCATGTAATTATGAAGTAAACGTTCAATAGATAAGTAAATGTTTGTTTCTTAAGTTCATTTTTAGTTTTAAAATTTCTTTGATGGTGCCAACATTATGGCTACGACTGTTTAACAACTTACAAAAACATTTAATTTCTTTTTTATCACCAATACACCCTTTTCCTGCTATTACTGATTAATTATTAATTATGAACATATTGTATATACTAAAATTTTACATTAGAATTATTTGTTTATTAGAGTTTTTATGTACCTGTGCTTTAAAATTATATATTTTAATTTTCAAATTACTATTATGTGTATGCATATACAATTATTAATTGGATATTTTATTTACAGTTAACAATTTGCTTTCCCAACTTGGTAAGTATTTCTTACTACAATTTATAAATTAAATGTAAATATTACTTCCAACACGTATTTCGTATGCTTTCCGCTAAAAAAATGTAGTGTTAATAACTACAATGAGAACCACCAATGTTTTATTTGAGAAATTAGGTTATAACGCTTCGCTACTATGATGCATCATTTAAAAGAAAGGAAAAAAGAGTTAAGCCCCATAATTTATTTATAGTCTAAAGTCTGCACCATTGTGTAAAATATCGTAACATCATATAGTTAAATATTTAAATACACGGAATTTACAGTTTTGATAACATCTGATATTTTTTTTTAAATTGACAACGACAATTTACTATTTAATGCTCCTCAGCAAAAAGTGTGAATTAATTCAACAATATTCGGCATGAATTCAACAGCTATAAGAAGGGAAGGAAATCGCTTTTGCCAACTATCAATTTTACGTACTAGTTACTTACATTATTACAGTAATACTGCAAACGGTTATGCACTTGCTTATTATATATCAATCACCAGAGATACATATTATTTTACCACAATGTTTTCATTTGTAAACTTTTAGCGAAAAATGTATACATTTGATAGTATTGTATAAACCAAATTATACTTGCATTTCTTTTTTTGCGAAATTTAATGTTTGTACCCCACGAAAAGAACGACGTATGGAAAGTTATCGTACGCACATACAGTTTACCTTCAACAATCCAATGTTATCTTCAACAATGTTAAATTTTACTCTCTGAAAATATTTTAAATATTGACTATAATTGATCGATGTTATAATTATTAAAAAATGACTAAGTAAATGAAATTAACGGTGTATAAATCATATTAGCCAAATAAAGCAAAAATTATTCACGATATTATTTTGTTTATTTCAGATAATGAGAGTCCAGGAAGCCAAGGATCTGACGCTCCAGATTTAGAAAAACTAGGTAATTTGCTTCCGGAATTTCTTTTAAAAGTAATATGAGTTTAAATATCAGTTACACTGTTCGAAAATAAGTTTAAAACATCTATATAAGCTTAGGTTTAGAAAAAATTACGAATACTATACAATATATGAAGTTTGTAAATTAATTTATTTTTCGATGAGAAATATAAACTCTTTTAAAATAGGCGAAATCGCTGTAAATCTTTATTGCTTATTGAATTATTTAATTTATTAAGGTGACTAAATTATATTTCACATACCTAAATTGTCCTACTCGTCTTTTTATACAACAATACTTAAGTGTAATTCCTTTTTCCTAATTATTTTTTAGTAAAATACTCAGATATTGATGAAGCTTCGTTCGATTTTGTAATATTTTATTTAGATTAGCTGTGGTTCATGTTAGAACCTAATAATAAAAGTTTTATTTTGCAATAATCGTTATTCTAATGATGGAAATTTATTTTGTTTAAAAGGTTAATTTCATGCAGGCTTTCTCTTAAGTTTTAGTATTTGCTATTTCTGCTTTTTAATTTATCGATATTAATTATGTAGAAAACTTGCATTTTTGTAACAATATAATATGTATTTATTTTATATAGCATTTTATTAATACTTTATTATTTAAGTATACTATTTTTGAAAACAGTAAATTATTGACATATTTTGATAAAGAAAAATGGATTTTAAATCTTCACTGAATAAGAATCAAGTTTGAATTGGTTTATGAAAATATTATTTTTCGGAATATTTATTTATAAACTTACATTTTTTAGGAAAAGAACTGTTGGATATCCCTGGTATGTTTGATTTTATTAAAACAAGTTCTTAAAATCCCCAGTTGTTTAAATACTTGTAATACTAATATGAATTTTTATTGCTTTTTAAGAATTATTTCTGAATTATTATCTCTATTTGTGTTATTGAAATAAATTAATTTAAAAATTGTAAGCAAATTTAATTTTTTTAGATCAATTAAGCAACTTACAACTGCCACAAGATGAACCGAAATTAGGAAAATTAGGTAAGCTTTGAAAATACTCTTTGAATATTTCTCTTTTTTTTAAATTTATTTACAAATTTGCCTTAATAGTGCAATATTTACATTCACTATCTTTTTCCGTAACAATTATTACGTAAAATTTACATTTATTTTACACACTTGGTAGTATAATTGCTAACAAAATCAGTGTTTTTATTTTAATATTTCCTTTAAGAAGAAAACTCTTATTCATTTTTCAGAATGTAACTTTCTAGACAGAATTTTTCGAACGTTTTGTTTTAAAATTTGAAACATTAATTTTAAGTAAGGAAACTCTATATATTAAGTAAATATTATGTAGTTTAAACATTTAAAATCTACTATTTGCTATCAATATAAATCTTTTACGAAAATCACCACAAAAACAATAATTACAACATCATTTAAGGAAGGAAAAAATTATTGTAAAACAAATTCTTTTGCATTCAAAAAAGATTAATTTCATTTATTCAAATTATTAATAAGAATTTCTAAATACAATATTAAAGATGGTTAGCAGCATATGATAATGTGATGTTAAAATGATAAATGTGAAAAATATTCAATGCATTATTACTTCATATTTAATAATTGAAATTTTTATTTTTAGGAACTCGATTGATTTTGATTCTTAGTAAGTTCTCTTTCATTAAAATCCTTCCTTCATTAAAAAGATTCTAACTAATTATTTAAAAAAAATAGCAGAGTAATATTTTCAATGTGTTTATTTTTACAATAAGGTATAAATAATGCAAGGAAATGAGTAGTCCTTGTTAAAAATTATAGCTTCATACTTTTTTAGCAAAGAAATTGCTTTTGAAATATATACAATCTTATATATTACAAAATTATTAAATTGAGACTTTATTTGCAACTTGATATATTTTAACAAAAACATCTTCTTCAAACATAAACAGTCAAAAAGTTTCGCTTAAGCAGTTAGTTAATACATCGCACATTTTTAAATTACGCAATGAAAATACAGTAAACACATCTTTATTGCGAAGCAAACATTGGAGTTGAGGAGTGGTAGTGAACAGAAGATAAGAGAAATGGACTTTAACAGAAAAATAATTTCATTTTAAAAATAAGTTATGGGGAATTACAAGTAGTATAATTAAAACTGATAAAACAAATATACTGATTCTTTTAATTGTATCCTTTGCATTTTACGTAATCTTTATGTTATCTGAGTACATTTTGAGTAAAATACATTCATAAAGTGGTGGTACTCACTTTATTTTACACTATAAGCAGTTTCCTTCCAGTTGACTGTCCATCATTCTCGAATATGAGCCACATCTTTTGTTCTTTGTCAATCTCATGTATTCATCTAAAATAACTGCATGCAGAGCGTAAGTGTTTGATCTGCGCCAATGTTGCTTAATCTCAATATGCCAGTGTTGCCCATTACGTAAATCACCTATGTCATTCCGAAGTCCGTATCTAATAAGAAAGAGTTACACGATAAAAAAATCCGAATCAAATTACGGTATAAAGTACCGGCGCTTTGGGTGCATCATCCGTAAAAATCCTTTTATCGTAAAATCCCTTACCGTAAAATATTATGCCATAATTTTAGAAGTAATATTTATTTACTTTGATTCAATCATTACGTGGTAATTATTACTGTAGAAACTACGGTGCATTGAATTTTTTTATCCGTAACATGTTTCAGTGAAAATGGATTTTACAGAAAAAAAGTACCGGTGCATTGAATACCAGTACATTTTACCGTAATTTGATTTTTTACAGCGTAGAAGATAACTTATTCGAACATATATAGCAGCAACATTCATGGTAGAACAAAAATACCATTAAAAATCTTTTGCGAATTTGGTATTTAAATAATTTGTAAAATAGTAATATTAAAAACCTTCATGAGTATAAATATTCACATGGTTCCTCGATAGATGTCATTTTTCTTTTTGCAGATTCTGACTAAAAAAAGTCTAACTCAGATTTTTATTTGGGGTGCGTCTTATCATGAAAATACTGTTAAATGTTTTTCTAAAACGCATATTCGTGTAAAATTTTAATCTAAAAATCTGTTTTACAAATTATGAATATTCTACTTTTTGCTGAGAGAAAGGTGTAATATTCCCTACTAAACTCGATGGTTGACATACTACTATATAGATGTTTTAGTAACTACTTTAAAGCACAATAACTAGGCATCTGTTTTATTCTAATTTAAGCTTGAATTAGAAATATTATTTTGATAATGCTAACTAATTTTTGACTTTTATATATTGAAATTAAGAATTACAAAAATACTAAAGAATTTAATTTTCTTTCAGTTAAATTGGGCACATATAAGTTGCCAGTTGGCAGCCAACCTGATTTAGGACCTGTAGGTAAGTGAACAAAATTTTATATATTGAAATAAAAATCGTAATATATTATTCAGCATACGATTATTTTTAACTATCATAATATCAATTTCATTTTCCCACACATATTTATCTATTTATTTCGCATATTTAATAGAACAGTTTATTTTAGTGATAGAAATTAGTAATATAATTCAAAATTATTAATATTAAATAGCAATTAAAAATATTTTTCCAGACAGATTGGCTGCATGTTTTCAGCAACATTTTCTTTAAAACTGCATTTAATTGTATCATTAAAAATATTTTTAACAATGCCCTTTATAGAAGCTATTGTCAATATTCAATATTGTCAATTTCTCCCACTTTATATGGCAAATCTGAGGTTAAAAAAATTTTTCAAATACTATTTAAAACATTTGCTAGTTCAGGTAAAAAAATTCCAAAGACACCTTGGACGAAACTAGAACTTTTTTGTAGTTTTAACTCTCAATTAAGCATAATATATTTAATTAAGTAGTATGACTTTTGTCGAGCAATAATTATTGAACACTAAGGAATGGAAATGTAGAGAGCTGGCCATAAAATTATGCAAGCTATACACGAAAAGTACTGTCAAGTAAAAAAGTACTGTAAATCACGTAATATAAGTATAATATAAGTAAGCAAACATATGTTTTCACTTATGAAATTTAAAAATTTGGCTATTGTTTTTATTAAATTACTTAATACTATTATTATTAAAATTATGAAAATACTACATCTTCTTTTCTATTTAATAATATAAATCAAATAAATGATAAAGCAGAAATTTTGGAAAATATATGCTTCATAATAAGTTTAAAACATACGAAAATTCCCAGGTCAGTTAATGAAAGCAGTATAAGATTATGTTTTACATAAAAACACCGTTTTCGTTGTCGTGGTAAAAAAAGTGTGAATACCAGAGTAATTTCATGCCTAATTCTGGTAAAATTACCGTACTGCAAACTAACGAAATTTTTGTTTAAAAACTATAATTCTGATTAATAAAACCAAACTACACTACATTTAAACCACTCATTTGGCAATTTTTTCGATTATACCGCAACGGTTTACCATTACCAAAAATTCTGGCCTTCAAAATAATAGTACCGTTTGCCACACATTTCGTAAGACATGCAAAACTTAAAAGAAAACAAAACCAAATAAATTGTTTTATGCCATTATTTAAGGTATCATGATAAAATTACCAAATTTGATCACTTATTTTAAAACAATATTTCATTATTAATTTTACCAATATCATCACCAAAGCACTTTGATAAAAATTAATGAGCTTTTCAATGCTCATTAACCTTTGAACTTTTCCAAACATACTCACTTGCAATTTTTTAACTAGTAATTATTGTTTATAAGTATTATTTAAAAGCAACTAGCATTTCGCATTACCTCATAGTAATGTTAATCACTTTTATAAACTTTTTTGGGTACAGATTATCGGCAGAAACTAAACTTATAAATTAATAGAAAACCTCGATTTATTTTGATAACATTTCATTTCAATTTAAATTGCTTCTTTAAGAAAAAATATTTTAACGAATTTCATTCTTTCCTCTAGCACAACAGTTGATTCCAATTCTTGGTAAGTCATTATTCAAGCTTATTTATGAGATTTATTACACACGTTTCAGTGATTTTTTAATCCAATTTAATTTTCGCCAACAAAATATAAACTAAATGTGCAAGGAATTTTATTAGTTTAAAAATATTTATTTAAAACAAAAACCTTAAAAATCATTTCAAATTAGAATGTAACAATTTTAGAAACAGTCGGAGTATCACATTACAGGAAAAGATATAAATATAAAGCTTCAACAAATATAAAATATTTTACTGAATTTTAAAAATGCGTTTACTCTTTAGGTACACTATCTGGTATAGATTACATTATTAAAAATATCAGTGAAGTGTATTTAAAAACAATTTTTGGCTATTCTAATTTCATGTATTTAGAAAAGCATATTTCTAAATATAATTTTTTGGGGTATTGGAATTCTAATGACTTAAATTTATTTCCACACATTTAACTTCATTTTAAAGTAACTATAATGATTTATTTTTGCACAGAAATTTTGCATGCCGATAGTTGAAAAGTAATTTAAATCTTATGATGAACTACTTTTTTCAGCATACGTAGAATTCTTTTGAAGAAAAAAATTATTATTTGTATATTATCATAGAAAGTTCACAAGATTTACTATTACTGCAAGTTTACAAATTAGAATTAACAACAGAAATGTAAATCTGCTAGAAATACGTAAAAATATATGCTTATAAAATATTTTGAACTTATAGTTAGGCATTTTTACTAAACATTAAATGCAAGAAATTTAGTTATTAAATTCAAATATTATTTATAATATTATAAAGAATTATTTTATTGCATATATTACCTAGTGCCACCATTAAAAAACTATAAATAACTTTTTATATGTTTTCTGATTATAGGAAAATTAGCTGGATTACTACTACCTCAAATTATAATAAAGCTCCAATTTGTTCCGCGTAAGTATTATTTATTTTATGAGAGGAAAATTATTGACTGCAGAAATCTTAAGTATTCTTTATTTCATTAGAGAAACATTACCTACAACAGAAATTATGCGTAACGTCACAAGTATACGCAACACAAGTCTTCATTAAAAATTCTTTTATGAGCTATTTTCTGTAATTCGTGTTTGGTAAAAGGTTTAAACACTTAAAACAAGCACATGCTGTGAATTGCATAGGGTAAAAATGGTATGTTTCTTTGACTTTTACATTGGAATTTCAGTCGAAATTTAAAACAACAATATACATTCTTTTTTTTCGGGGGAGGAGGGTTTGAAAATTAATCCTAATTTTGGTCTTAAGTAAGAAGATTGTGATCATGTATCATTTAATGTATCATTTATCATTTTCAGGTTTTTACATGATCGGTTATCAAACTATAATTAAAATTAGCGTCATCGTGTTCCTTAATATCAAACTGAAACATAATGGTATTAGTTTTCAGAAGTTATTAATAATTATTTCTCCATAGTTAGTATTCTGACTGACATACTTTTTATTCAAACATAGTTGGTAACATTACTATAGCAAAAAGAAACTGATATTTTCGCTGAAACTGAGAACTCTCACGGACTTTTTCTGTAAGCTTCAAACGAATTTAAAATTAAATGCCCTTAATATCATACTCAAGGTTATACAACGTGCTTCATAAAACTCACACCGGGAAATTTGGAGAAAAGTCTTTAAAAAAATTCTTTTCTTTTTTTTAAAAAAGGAGTAAAGTAAAAATTATTTACTATTAAATAAATAACAGAAATAACTTTAAACAGATGCAACCTTAAATTTGGCAGCTAAATTTTTCTTTCCGTATAAGAGATGGACTGAATCTTTAGTTTCTTTGTGATTTGATGTGCCTATTCAGGATAAACTTTGTTTCAACAAGTTGAAGTTTTTCTGGTTCAGGCGAAATTAAATCATCATCATTTTTCAGAAAGAAATTCGATTCTGCTGATGCATTGTTGTTCTATCATATAACATGTAACACAGTATTTTTCTATTTTTGTGCCCTCTTGTATACTTGATTCAAATTTCAGCATAGATTAGTATTTTCTGTTACAAATTTCAGTAGATTTGAGAAACTTCTTTAAGTTTGTGCAGGAATTTTATAGCTGTCAAGGAATACATTTCGATATTTTTATATCTGAATATTAAAATAAATACAGTAATTAAACAGTTTTGAAATTACATATATTGATTCAATCCAAAAGTTCTCAGTAAAAAAATTTTCTTGAAGTTTTTATTTAAAAATTCATTATTATTTTAATATTATGGTAATTTCATTATCTAATAAATATTTATAAATTATTTTGTACTATTCAGTTCTTGAATTATCATAAACGACACAAAAATTATTGTATCTTTGACCTACTTTTTCTTCAAAATACCATAGTATCCAAAATTATAATCATTCTTATCCAGATCATTCTCATAAAGTAATAAAATCATTACACATTCTTCTCAAAACATGAAAAGTATATAATACATTCTACCGAAGCTGTTATAAATCCCAATTTTAGAATACATTACAAACAAAATGACAAGCTGAAAGTTTCTCTTTACTGTTTTTACAAAAAAGTATAAATCTGTCTTTAATTAATCAGTTTACTGAAAATTGATTTTAATGAATGATACTTTATACTGGAAACTGTTAAGGCTTCATGTAATAAAACTGACTTGAAATTTATATTTAATTTTCAGAAAGTGATATGCCGTCATTACCTAATGTTCCAGACTTCAGTAGCAATCGTAAGTAAAGTGCATTATTATTCTTTTCAAAAAAAAATGTTCGAATAATTTGTATTCATTAACAAATAAGTTTTTTAATATTTTGTTATTAATATTTTTTGCAAGTTTCAATTAAATTTTAAGCTTAATATATTTTAACGGATATACTGTAAAGGAAGTTACAAACATGGTTTTCCGTTGTTTCTAAAACTTATTACGTACTTCTATTCTTAAAAAAACATGAACATAAAGAAGTACTAGGAATTAGTAACTATTCCTCACTAGTTAAATAAAGGAAATTCAAAGAAAATAGAAGAAAAAATGAATTAACTGAAAGAAACTGGAAAAAACAAAATTATATAGCTCAATAATATTAAAAGAAAATATTTTAATAAATAATTATTTATCATTACTATTATAATTTAGATCTTCTTTTGCTTTAGTTCAATTTCATACTGAAATTATTTGATTTTTTTAAACTATGATATTAATTGGTTAATTTGCTTTTACAGCAACGCAAGCCTTCACTCTACCTTGTAAGTATCATTATTATAATTAAGTTTAATTATTATTATAATTATTATACAGAAAGTATAGATACCAGAAGAGAAAAACACTAGGCATATTTGGAGACTGAAAAATAAGTTTGTTTTCATATGGCCCTCTGCGAATCAGACAATTAAGAAAGTATTGCATAAAATTATTTTACATTTTGACAGAGAGAATATTGTAAAAACGGTTATCTAATTCCCTTAAAAACGGTTAAAGAGACATTCAAAAAATTAGTTAACAGGATCAGTTTTTTTTATCGAAATATTATACTCACACTAAATTATTTAAACTGAGATGAAATGTTATTTTCAGAAGAGTAACAGCGACGCTAGACAGAGTTAAAGCAAAGAAAATTTGGTAATTTCTTAACGTTTCATGAATTTGGCTCTGCTGAACGACAACAGAAAGAAGATGTAATTTGACTGTTGTTTCCAGCCCTTTTTTTCTCTGTCTCGCTCATCCATTATTGATACTAAATACATCATTATAACTATGTTTTAGCATACTATTAGTAAGCATTTTTTAAAATTTCGTGTCCCAGTATAACATTAACGGTAAAAACAATTACATGAACGGTATTTGTACGGCTGTACGTGACGTCTCCCATTTAACTTCTTGTCCATGAAATGTCGTACCAATCCGTGAAAAGTAAACTACAGAAAATAAAATGGAAATAATTAATGTTCCTTGGGAATAATAAATGTATTAGCCCACTGTCCAGGGGTTGGCAAACACTGCCTCATAACGCGCATTTTTTCTTCTCCATTTTCTTGAAAAATCTGTTTGACGGGCAGTCACATGTTGATAAATATATTTTTCAAAACCTGTAAATGGTTCCGTTGTATCACATGAGTTTTTGTGAACTGAATAGTTTTTTGAGCAAGGAAAAATACTTTTATTATTTTACTGTTCCTTTTCCTACAGTTTTTACCTAAATATGTGTTTATATTTCTTTTTGTTTACTATATTCTAGTAAGTCTGGAAATTCTGTAGTTCGGAATTCCTTTGTGAAAAGCGTGATAATTGGGTTAAATATTTCTTTTAAACATACTGCATTTTCTGTCTCATTTAATCCTTTTTTCATCCTGCGTGTGTTTGCAATTTAAAAGTATTTTTAAAAAAAGTAAATATGCATTGACGATGTAGTTTTATCATGCTGCCATTTCTTTTTTCAAATTTGTCAGTTTATTTTTAAGCACTATATAAGTATCTTTATCTTTTTCAGTGAGGATCTTATTGAAGATTTTTGGTAAGAGGCTAATAATATTTTTTTAATAATACTTTTTTTCACTTATTTTAATTATAATATCAGTTCCAAATTAATTAAATTACTATGAATTTCACATTATATTTCCTAGTCTGTATAAATACTGAGTATTGAAGATCACTGCCAGCCACGTTTTCACTTTTATTTGTTATAATGAGTGTTAAATATTGCAAAAAGATAAATTAAAGCAAAAGCAATAGTTTCTTATATTTGTTTAATTTTTTCTTTAAATTTTAAAAGCAAGCAACCATTTTTCGCAATTTCTCAAACTAACATCACATTATACTATCGAAAATATTGTTCAGAAGTATGTTAGGTTGAATATATGTTACGTATGTATATAGTGAATGGTTAGATATTAAATTACTGGTTCAGGGGGAAAAAACAATTTAAAAATCGAAATCAAGATGTTGCTCTTTTTGAAATTTTTCTAACCCATTTTTATTAGTCATATTATGCGAAACGTTGTTGGAAAGCAATTTGAAGAAAACATTTCAATTTGGGCAGGAAATAAAGATGCATTTAAAATAATTATATATCACATCATTAGATAGTTAATTTTCTACCTAAAGTATATTTAGGTGGGTATGTATCACTTCAGAAAGATATTGCAACCGAAATAATATTGCATTTATGTATACATTAAAATGCTTAGAGATAATAAAGAAAAAAATTCCAATCAAACAACCCAACTAATAACCCAGAACTAAATTCCAAGTAGAATATTAAAACTGATTATAGTTGAAATCCTGCAAAGAAAACGGAGTTTTCTCACAGTTTTAAATAGAGAATATCAATTTAGCATGTGAATTTCTGTATAAAACCATAAATCAAAATATTAAATTATATAAGTTAGTTTTCAAAACATAAAATTATTTTTTTAAAAATCTTAATTGTAGCTGCAAGTACAAAGAAAAATCTTTCTTATGTATTTTTAAGTAAAACAGCAGTGATGGTAAAAATACAAGAGAATGGATGTGGGAGAACAGATGACTTCTAAAATAGTTTTCGACGACTCTTAAATCAGTTCTTCTAAAAATAGTTTTAAATATATAACACTGACAACGGGTTTACAGTAGAAAAATCCAAAAATATAAATCAATTTCATGTCTGCGAAAATATGACAGGATTTGATTCTTATAATCGTTATCATAATTTTCATTAAAAACGTTTTCAATACTTATTCGTATTTATAAATTTTATCTACGAATTCCAGGAAGTTTGGGTGGCATTCCTCTACCGCAATCAACCCCATCCGGATCAATTGGTGAGTGAAATTATTTTTCAATGATTTTGGTGTTTAACGCATTCAATGGCGTTTATTTACTTAAAATTATTTTTTTCAGAACTAAGTGGATACTCAACACCAGAAGGCATTTCTTTCACATCCTCAGGTAATCGCTATTACATTGATTTTTCACAGTAAAATTTAATTCATAACTATAAAAAATTTACAAAAAGTAACGTATTACGCAATATTAAAACCGTAAGAAATCTTAATATGATATTAACCACAATAATATAAATATTTGAATCCGAAAATATTCTCATATTTTTTAAACTGAAGGAAAAAGAAATATATATATATGTATATATATATATATAAANTATATATATATATATACTCATATTTTTAGGGTTTTATTTTTTTGTATGTGAAACATTTTTACGCCTCTCCAAAATTTACGCCTTTCAAATAAATAGCTTTCTTATAATTAGAAATCTCATAGACAGATATTAGAGTTTCATAAATTGTATGATAAGAAAAACATAGCAATATTCATTTTACTTGGAATAGCAAATAAAATTATTTAATTTGTATTGCATAATGGTTTGAACTAAAAAATTGTTCTCAATTTAAAAACTACAGATGTAAACTTTAACTTTGTCTAATTGTTTTGCTGCCAAAAATAAATGCATATAAATCAACAAGACAAATGGGAATAGTTCTTTCTATAAATAAATCAAAGTGAGAATTTTAAACACATAAATTATAACAGCCATCAATTACTTATATGTAGATTGAAGAATAAATATTATTACTACGCGTAATATTTTTTTTATAAATTAAGATACTTTAGTTTTATGTTTTATTTTAAGTTATATTTAATTGAAGTACGTTACTAAGTACGTTAAAATCTGTAATCCGTAAAGCAAACTCAAATTTCAAGGGGTGTTGAATTATGTTATAATCTATGCAGTAGATTTATATTATGGCCTAAAAATTTATTAATCGCTTACTAAATGAATTTTTAAATTTTGTTTACTAATTGCATTTCCTTAGTAGAATGTTTACTGATTAAGCTTCCTTTTTTAATAGCTGATGATACCTTGAATTACCCAAGTAAGAATGCATTTAAATGAAATATTTTGTTATTACACAGCTTATTATACAAAAATATATTAAATTTTATTATCATTTATTGTCAATGCAATTATAAAATAATCCCTCTTTAATAAATAATTACATTTTTTATATATTTTTGTTTTTAAAATAAATGCTTCATTTACTTTCTTAAAAGTTACTTTGTTAAGGTGAATAAACTACATTCAATCATGATATAAAGAAGCACAAAATTATCGAAATATTTGTTTACTGAAAAATGTATACAAATCATTGAAAGCACATAAAAATAATGTAGTGACTAATATTTATTATCTATAATTTAACCTGACTCTCATATTTCCTACTTATATTAAACCATAATTTCTCTCTAAATTGCTATAAAAAATATTTAATTATTAAAAATTTTTATTTAAAATGTATTTTTTTAATAAATAATTACATTCTTTTCTTTATTTAGTCCTTCAATTCATATTCATGATTGGTAAGTAAACCTATTTATTTTGACAGCAGCTTTAATTTCCTTTTAAAGTGATTTCTAAAGGATCTCTCTAAACTTAAAAGAATAAAATTTCTGAAGATTTGACTCTTATTGCAGTTGAAATAACATAAAATTTTTCTAGTATTTTGAACCCCAAGTTTTAAACTATACAAAAGATACTTTTTCTATTACTTGTGTACAATCTCGATTTTTTATGACGTCATAAGAAAAATAATGCTTTTTTAAAAAGATATTTAAACTATAATATGTTCTTTTCTTTAAGAAAAGTTCTTAGTTTATAAAACGTTCTAATATGACATTATATAATATATATTTTACATTTTTTTTATTTGATTGACTAGTTTTATATTTGAAATTTTATCTATAAGAATATAAGAATATATTTATAGGACGACCAGGACAATCACAGCAACCCTCTACTCCTCAATTTGGAGGACTTACACTTGACGAGGGCAACTTGGGTAAGTGGAGCTTCTTTTGGAGTTACAATTAAAGTATATTGATTTTGAGTGAATTTAAAATATTTTTCAGTATTTAGTAAGAATAACGCAATAATGTGTTTGAGATCTACAATAAACCATATAAAATACATATTATATACCTTATGTTTTCATATTTATCAAAAATCTTATTGCTTATATTTATCACAAGCATTTAATTAAGTATGATAATGTAATTGAAATTTACTTTAAAAATTAACTTGAAGAACTCTGTTAAAAATTTTGTGGAAAAAATAAATAATTCTTTCTCTTGTTTGGTTAAAAGTATTTAATCCTTTTTTTTAAAAAATTGAAGTAAATATTTAGTCTGAAATTTTTAATATAAAAGAACAGTTATTTCAAAATTAATTGCTTTTAAAATATATTTCAAACTGAACCAGTTTCGTCACGAGACAGGTTGTTTTTAAAGTTTGTTTTAGCATAAAGCAACGTTATCTTGTCTAAATTTGAGATTTTAAACATATTAGTAATTAAAAGTGAGTTTAAATGATCTAGTTCTGAGTTTCCTTTCGTATTAAAACTAAACACTTCACTTTAAATCTAGAATTTTAAAATATTATAATTAATGTGTGAACTCAGAATACATCCTACATATATTCTCACCAAATTAAACTTAAAGGAGAAATCAAGTGGAGTTTTTACATAATTTTAAATGAAAAATTTTAATTATTTAAACATCGGTGTATTAATAAACGAGTTTTTTTTTACTTTTATAGGATCTGTCTTATCACCTGATTTACCAAAGACTGTTCCTGAACTGGAAGATCTAGGTAAGTAAGAAAACATTCAATTTTCACATTATTTTTAAACATTTTTTTTCTTCTCATTTTCATGAGTATTTGAAAACAATGATAATGATATCAAATTCAATTTTAGAACTAATAATTATTCTTATTTAAATTATGTAATTTGCAGCATTACATCCGTATTTGCATTTTTCAATTTGTTTTTTATTCATATACTTATTTTTCTTTAAATTTTCACCAAAATGAGGGTATTAAAATTAAAAATACATCTGGTTAGATAAACCTTATTTAGATGATATTATTTTCAATAAATAAATATCAAGTTTTGGTACTAAAATTATTAACTGGTATTATAATTTGAAACTAAAATTATTTAAGTTTACTTAAATTATTAGTTTATTTAGTTACTAAATTCACATACTAAGTTTACTTGAGTACACTAAAATTATTTACAAAAATGTTTCATTTTTATGTAATTTTGCTACTTAGTCTCATTGTTGTTGTTATTTTTTATTTAGCAAATAGTTTAATATCGCAACTTGGTAAGTAGTTCAGCCATTTTTACTTCTGGTCAAAACATATTTTAACGCATGTTTCAGGTGAAAAGAAATAAATAGAAAGAAAGAAATATATATATATATATATATAAAATGCACCTTTGCATTCTTATATAATGGTGTGCATTCTTAAATTGACAGAATTTTCCAGCAAACGAAGTCTAAACCAATGTGTGTAAACACTAGGACTAATAATTTTCGTATAAGATAAAATACTGGTCTCAAGAACAAAGTAATTTCCAGACTACCACAAGTTATTAACATATCATGTACATTAACTTGTTAAAATAATTGACAAATATAAGACTCAAACAATAATAGTTACATGGCAGCCAACTNTAATTATATATATATATATATATATAGCACGTTTTAAAAAAAAATAAAGAAATATTGTTCTGTTGCTTCCTTTAAATACTACAAATGTTCTTTAACATAACTGTTTTTAATGTTCTTTCACATTTCTGAATCAAGAATAAAATAGCAACAAATTAAATTTGTCACGAATACAAATATCTTTCTGCAACTAGCTTTTATTTTACTGTGACATTAGCATATCAAAATGCATTGAATATTAGCATTCTTTTAAAAAGAAATGAAGTAAAAAAATTCAATTGAAATTGACAATTTTTCCAATCTGGAATGAACCTTTAGATTATTGACATACATGACAACTTGACATACATGAACATTTTAAAAATCAATTTTAAAAGCCTTACAATGTAATATAAATAATATAAAATTTATAATAAAATAATATAATATGGGGTGTGGATACACCCACACCCCATTTTGTTTTAAAATAAGCATACCCGTGCCTAAAATCAATTTTCATCTGAATTCTCATCAGAAACAATTTCCATCATCATTGCGTAATAAATTAAAAAACTGACTACCCATCTTCTTATTAATAACTTTTATATGGAAGTAGATATCTATCCAATATAAAAATAACAGCAAAAGAAGAGAAAAAAAGAAAAAATTCGTCCGTTTTCAAAATAAAAAGCAAACAGTTTAATATCAAAGAAGATAAGTAGATTTATCGCATTTATAAAAGAATTTTTAAAAAAATTCATACAAAATTATTAAGTATTGTTAATTTGGTGCCAAGATTTTTATGATTGATATATTATTTATTGGTATAATTTGTTAACGTGTATAAATTATGAAATAATTTAATTTCGATATATGTTTGAATAAATAAAGATCTTTATTTGTTTCTAGATGGACAAAGCCAACCATCAAAATTACCACAGTTAGTTCAATTAGGTAAGCCAATGTTTGATAGAAAATGTAATTTGTCAAAAAATATATTAATTAATGAGAAACTATATCGAGTTTTTATTGATTTAAATTAAATCTAATTTTTGTTTTGAAAAATAAAATTGCTTTAAAATATTATGTAATAGGCTCTTATAATAAAGAAGGGAAATTTTAAATTATTTCCTTCCAGAAAAAAAACCAAAAATCTATTTAAGCTTCATTTCAAAACACTGTGAGATAGATAGTTAATATTTTTTTACGAATGATTAGTGTTTGAAATTATTTAAAACTTTAAATAAATAATTAAGAGAATAAATTATTTTTTCTTTGAATACTAATATTACTACCTCACCAAAATAAAATTTAGAAGTAATTTCAAAACATAGTTTATTTGTGAAAATGGTAGCTCAATTCTAGATCAATAATTTTATTTAATAATTGAATTTAAAATTGAGTATTTGATAATTGCGTGCAGTATATTTATAATGCAACTGAAGTGGTCAAAGTTAAAAGGGGTATGAAACTTTTCTACGAAAATAAGTTTTTTGTTGGTTTGGGAAAATCAATCAAGGATTATCAAATGCCAAGTAATTTTCTAGACTGTCTATAGAAGAGAATCCACCAATTTGGAACAATTAAATAGACAATTTCTGGAATTGCAAATAGTTTTAAATAATTGCTTCGTGACTAAATATTTATTTCTGTAAAAATTTAAAATTACTCGAAATAAATATTTAACGTATAACTAACTATTCAACGCTACTTAAACTATCACTTTAGTCTATCTAACAAAATGAATCTCAACAAAAACTTAGCGTATAACTAAATAACTCAATTAAAGTTATTGCACCAGACAACCAAATAATATGAATCATATTAGATTATTATAATATTCTAAATTTAAATAGTGAGAAACCCACGTTATCGATAGTTCACCACGTTGGAAAATAAATATATAAATAATATTTTTTTCAATACAAACAATGTATAAATATTACTGAAGACAACATTAGTTTTTATGATTAAATGCTTATTAAGCTTAGATAATATTTAATGTTATTAATTTATTAGAAACCATTCCGCTTAATTTATTTTATGGAAATATGTAGTTTCATTGATTCGAAGTAAATAATCCTTTATTTTCTTTTAAGGAAAAATACTTATTCAGATAATTGGTAAGTTCATGGTTTTTGGAACTTCTATTACAAACAATTTGGTTACGATCCTATTTATTTAAAAATTTGTCTAAAGCATAATTATTTATTTATATGTATATAAAATAAAAAAATTAAATAAATAAAAGAGAAACATAATGTTAATAAAACTTTAATATATGGTGTTTGAACCAATCATTTGTTAATTTTCCCGTCCATACATTAACGGTTTACAGGAAATTCTGACTTCCAAGTTCATAATTCGTATTACAACATATTTATTAAAGTTACAAACCTGAATACCTGAAACCCTAACAAATGGATTTTTAGCCCTGCAGGCTTTCTAAAATTTTTGGGCACTAAGACATCTTAATTTTTATGAACATATGTGGAACCCCATAATATTTTCGAAACTTTTAAGGGGCTCCATAAACATTGCGCAAATCCGACACACGCGTGATGGAAAGTATCAGTTTCGTCATTTAAACTATTATATACTATTGCGGTTTTATTTCTCTAACTTTAATTTTAAGAAATAGGGAAAGGTGAGCATTTTAAATAAAAGTTCCAAACTTAAATATGTAATGCAATAATAAAAATAAATTAAATTACTCGGGAAAGATTCTGATACAGTATGAAAAAATATTTGGTAATTTTAGGATTATTGCTGCAGTGTCCCGGAACCGCAAACCACAGTTTGAGAAACTCTGCTCTATGGTATCATAATAAAATTACCGAAATTTTTATCACATTTTATATCAAATTATGAACCATATTTCATTGTTAATTTTACCAAATCATTTCCAAAGACCTTCGGTAACACGTTAAATTTCACAATATTCTAGTAGTTTTGACCACACTTTTTTTTCTCATTGTGTAACGCATATAATAAGAAAATATAAACTACATTTTAACGTAAACAAAAACCACGTTTTAACAACCATTCAGGATCGAGATATCCACAATACGTCACTTACAGGTATCCGATTGGGTACTTGCAAATAATCACATGGTTGTGTCTAATCACGTGGTTGTATATGACGTCTTAAAGTTACAGCTTTAATGATTGGGTTTATTATCACGCTGAATCAATTTTCCGATCAAATTTAGTTGGATACCTCGAAGAGCACTTGTCGAATCTCATAGCCTTAATCATGCGTGACGTCGCTAATAAATATTAAATTTGATTCGCTACAAGTATCCAATTATATTGGTAAAACGTACTAATACTTTTATTTTCTTCCTAAAATTATAGACCAAGAAGGACAATTGAGCTTACCTGATGATAAACAGCAACTTGGAAACTTAGGTAAGTTTATTAATCAAATTAATAGAGTTTTGTTTTTTATTGGCTATTTTAAATTAGTACATTTATCACTACATAAAAACTCATTATGTCAGCAAGCCTTACTGTTTTGGGTATTCAGTTTGAACTTAACATTTGCTTTTGCTGCGCAGAAACTGCGAAACTTACAATTACGCATATGCATAGATTACAGTAAGGTAAAAGAAAATTAACACTGCATAATTAATTGAAGAATTTTTAACTCTTACTTATAGGGTAAAAACACCTTGTGGACTGCTTTACAGGCAGAAAAAATACCACTACAGTGTTAAAATTTGATATGTTGAACGGGCCATGTAAATTTATAAATTTAAAATGAGCTATTTTTTTCTTAAATTCTAATTTTTCGAAAGCTTTTGCAACTTTTAGTGCTCTTTGTGCAAATTTCCTCAAATAGTTTTGCTTTGCGTTGTATTTTGATTTGCTGTGTAAGAACTATAAGATTGAAAAACTTGAAGATACGAAATGTAAAAAATATATAAGGAATTCCATCTAATAAAAAAATTCCATCTTTATATCAAAAATTATTAATTTTTAAACTTGAAGAAAAATAAATATGTTAGCTGATCTGTGATTTGTGGTGCAACTACAGAGTTGAGATTTGACGAGCTGAAAGAGCCATTTTCAATTACAGGCTTAACACGAGTTTTTTTTTCCTCGGAATGCCAATTCACTTGAAAGTTTTTATATTTTTAATTGCTTTTTCATGAAGAAGGAAAATCCTAACAGTGTAAGATGATTGAAAGGCCATATTGGAGGTTTTGCAATTGGATAGAGTGGTAGACGGAGCGTCCTAGTTATAATAAAATTTGCATCGATCAATTAATAAACTAAAAATGAGTTATTATGGAAATTTTCGAGAGAAATAAAACGTTGTACAAAAGACCAAGTAATGTCTTTAAACTCAAATATAAAAATCGAAACTTGTTTTGATATAAAAATTGAATTTAATTGACTTTTAGATACTTTGAGAACTACGTAGCACGTTAATTAGTATATAAATGTGACACGTTGATCTATAATGTTTTAAAGATTCAAAAATGTATAAGATGCATTAGTTATATGTACACTAATGTAAATGGACAAATAAAGGTCTAAAAAAATTATAAATGGAATATGGATGATTGATCAAACTAATTATTTACCATGACTACCTTTATATGTTCTATAATTCTTTTCAATAATTTTATATTAAATATTAACAAACTTTCGTTCATTAATAGGAATACGTTTCATCATCATCATATGTAAGTAAAATATTTATTATAAAATATTATTTTCAATTTAAAAGCAGTTAAATGTTTTTATTAGTTGTTAAAAATACAAACAATTTTTGTTTTTAAAAATACAAATAATACATGTTTTTCTTTTAAGCTATTTAAATTTGCATTTAAATCTTTCAAAAAAATAGCTTTCTCGATATTTTTTATATTTTTATAGGCAAACTAGGTGCATACAGACAAAATCCAAGCCCCTCTGACTTCGGACAACAAGGTAAGATATTACTTCTGCACCGTATATTACTCACAATAAATATAAATCTAACATTTCTTGGAAATTTAAATATTATATAGACATGTTTTTAATGATTTTGCACACACTTATACATTGAAAACAAAAATAGCGGAATTATAAATGTATATAGGAATATTTAAGAATAATTACTTTAACTCACTCTGTTGTTTTTGGTTTCAAAAGAGATTTTTGTTTTAGAAATTTAATATTTCTGCGCTAACATTGCTAATACTTCTCCCACCATGTCAGCAAAAAAATTGCTAACTTTCCTATGCTTGAAATTATTAATACCATATATATGGGAGAATGAGGGCATAGAATATTACGACAAAGTGGATGAAGAATTGCAAAAGCGGTCACACGAAACATAGTTATAAATGTTCCAAAGTCAAACAAGTCAGAACATGCAGTAAAATGACTCATTATGTTTTTGGTACGCAATTTAATATATTATTGCTCATTTGTACTTCACCTTATCTAATAATTACCTTATTCACCTTTTTTTCTGGATAACTACTCATAACGCAATTTTTTATTCTTCTAAATAAATATAATAAACTGTAAGAAGAATCCACTAAAATATAGAGTTTTAAGCAGTGCAGCTGTATTAGTTGTGCAAAATCACAAAATTTACGAAGTAAATCCGTAGCCTCAGTGGCTTTTACCATACAAAAGCAAGTCCTTCCTGTAAAAATTCAGAAGAAAGTCTGTAATAAGATAGGTTTTTTACGTGACAAAACTAGTTTTTACGACCAAAATAAATCTGTAGTCTCAATAAAATCTTACTATATGGGAACAAGTTTTCTCTATGAACGGTGCGATGTAAACCTCAACTGACCATAGGTGAAAATATTCTATGTCGGTACAACTCGCATCTACCAGTCATCATTAGGATTCTAACATGGGTCACTTTATTGTAAGACTAGCACTATTAACCGTCACTATTCTCGCACAATCGCTATCACAATTTCTTAAGTAAAAATTGTGACATTGCGAATTTTACTTCAATATTGTATTATAATGATAATAAAGTTTAATCGTAGTTTAATTCATGCGATGTTAAAAACCAAAAAGTAATAGCTAAATATTAAGAGCAAATATAGAAATTAATCCTGAAATGATTGGGAAAATTAAAATATATTACGGAACCCAAAAAAACTGCATTGAAATTAGAATTTCAACTGACGATTTTAATCCGTTTGTGATTAAGATGAAAAACGGTGAAAAACCATTTTGTCAACAAAACGGATTAAAACGTTAAATATACGGAGAAATTTCGAAAAAAAACAAAGAGTATTTTTTACAGTTATTAATCAATTTCGTTAGTAATCATTTTTGACTCTCACTTTGTCATGGAAGTATATTTTTTTTATTATTTTGTAGGAGTAAAACTGATTAGAGTCTTAGGTATGTTATTGTTATACTGTCTAGTTATTTATTATATGTTAAATAAATATTGTTAATTTTATTTGCTTGTGTTTAAGTTTGAGAAATCAAAGCAAATTGAAAAGATTTCAAATAACGTTTCTCTTGAATTTTTATTAGGGACACTTTAACAAGCTGCAAACATTAATGTGCCCCTTACATGTAAATGCACAGCGTATTTTTTTATGAATCTTTTGAAGTATATTTGCTCTAGCGAGCTAAAATGTAGAATTTCTGACATTTCCAATAATGTTACGAGATAAACGCTTAAGGACATTTTAAGACATACAATATACGGTATTTTTTCTCTTCATATATTAAGTATCTATTTTGATTTTCTAAAGTATAGTTTTTATAACTACACATTTTGAAAAAATACAAAATAGAAAATTTTTTTTAACTGAATAAACTTTTTCTTTTTTTAAAAAAAAAAAACATGTTATGAGACATCCGCGATGAAATTACCAAATACCAAATTTTGACCCATATCATAACACTATACATTATTGTTAATTTTACCAAAATCATTACCAATGTGCCTCAGTAAAAATTACAGAACATGAAGGTGTTTGAATTCAGCCAGATCCAATTTTACCATACTCAGGTAGTATTAACCATACTTTTTTTTCCCAGTGTGAAATCGTATTTTTTTTTCTTTTTACATACGATGCTTTGCCACACTAGATTATCTTGTATCTATATCTTGTATCTAATATTTAATTAATTAAAATACATTTAAAAAATTTTATTGCATTAAAAATTTAAATGATATATTTTTTTACTTATTGTCAAAATTCGATAGTTGAATTTCGTTTATTTTTAGAAATCTGCTTGATTTTTATTCAATAATATTTAATTTAGCTAACAGCAATGAACATTAATGACTGGTATGCTTAGTAATGTCATTAACAATTAATAGGCTTTAATGATTAAATGAATGTATTGTCCATTTTATATTCTGAAACGAAAATCTTAGGTGGATAAAATGAATATTCTGTTTGATATGGTTAAATGTTAATATGGTTTTTCTCTTTAATCACTGACCCTTGTTTTTATAGGAAAAATGGCAGCTTTATCTCTACCACAGATGTTGACAGATTTAGGAACTTTGCGTAAGTATTAAATAACGAACTAAAATTCATAAAACATCACTGTTTTGTACCTGGAAAAATTATTTTCAATTTCAATTTCATGTCTTCAATCTTTTGCTTAAGTCCAAGATACTTTATCGAATAACTTTTGCAGTGAAAGTGAAAAATTTAATATACGAACATCCTCTTGGTAATTTACAATAAGATTTTGCTTTTAATAAGAAATCACATATTTAGTTTTATTGATGTTGATAATTTAAAAACTAAGAAAGAACCAAACGTGAACTGCTTTTGGATCTTCATTTATGATTAAATTTAAATTGTTGTCTGAATAACATAAATATATACGAGTTGCGTCGTCAGCAAAACTTACCATTTCATCATATAATTTTAACTCACATAAATCATAGATAAAAACTAAAAATAATTAGTGACCTAATGTTGAATCTTTGCAAGATATCTGGAATTTTTCATGATATTAACATCATGCATTTTTAGAGTCAAGCAACGTAAAATTTCATATCATCTTTAAAAATTTTCCAAAGCTAAAAATATTATTAATTAATTGATGTATTTAAAATTAACCTTCTTTATGTTATATTGCATAAAGGAATTTACCTTTAAAAAAGAAAATAGTTCAAAAAAAGAAATTATAAAGAATCATTTTACTAAATGATCGAATTCTATCATTAAATCATAAAAATACTTAATAAAAATAGATAAGATTTTTTAATATCTATTTTGTAGGTTATTAATGAATAAAAAGTGCAGCTTAATAGGAAATAACTAGCTACTTTGCTACAATTTAGGCGTACGCCAAACATAACCCTTTCGCTTTGTTCCATTGAAAAAAAAATTTGGAACATTGATGAAGGAAAAATGACTGACTGTAATTTAATTTATTCCTTTTTTAATAATGGTACTCCACTCACTTTGCTTTTTTTTAATATAAAAGAATAACCCTTAATATATTAATTGACTATCAGAAAAATATAACACATCGTTTTAAAATTGTTGGGGCAAAATATCATCTATCTATCATAATTATAAATTGTATATTGGCAAACCTATGTGAATTAAGAGTTTGGTCTTATCGTATGTTTTACATGTTTTGAAGAAGACCAATCGAAACAAAATTCTTTGCTGTATTTCAATAAGAAATAAGATTCTATCCTTCCATTTCGCTGTCATATTTTATTAATAACTGCTAATTTTAATTAACTCAGGCAATTGAGTCACATTTTTCAATTTTTCAAAAAAATCAAGTATAATTTTTCAAAGAAAATTTTTGAAAATGTTAAAGCTAAGAAAGTTTACGAATAATGCAAATATATATTTTTGGTAATGTATATTTGAAATATATTGAAAACTCGAATTAGAAAAAAATATTTTTAAAAGGCTTCTTCTTATTCGTCTTTGCGTGACAGACTGGGATTAGCCCTAACTTTCACAAAAAAGTATTTTACTACCTTGTCTAATACCTAAGAGCGTTTTCCGTTTTTTTTTATTGGCCCGCACATTTTACTTTTACAGTAGATTTCAAGATTTCACGGATAAATCCTAAATTTATTAAGGTCAATCCTAAATAAATAAATTTATTTATTTATTTAGAAATTCAAGGTCAACTTGACTTGCCAAGTGGTGTTCCTGATGTCGGACAAGGAGGTAAATATATTATTAATTTGTTTCTACATAAATATTTAGTTTACTGCTTACGTATGAAAATTTGGTAAAATTCAAATACTTGCTATTTAGTTGTAATTTATATATAATGTATTTTTCTTGCAGCTGCCAATACATACAGCTTCCCATGTAAGTGAAATGTTTATATAATATTATGATGAATTAAATCATATAATAAAGTAACCAATTTTAAAATTTCAATAAAAATCTAATTGCGTCAAAAAAATTTACTTTTTTCGAAGTGATATCAGCAATATAAAAATTTGATAATCAAATAAATAATTCTATTGAATAATTAGTTGGTACTTATATAAGAAAAAAGTATTCATTACACTTTTCTTTTTCTTATTAGTATTTGAATATCCTTGTTTGAATGTTCTCTAACGTTTTCTATTTTGTTTATAGTGTACATTCTCTTAAAGATTTTCGGTAATGTATCTTTAGATTATTGTTTCTAATTTTTCTTTATTGGTTTTCAAAATTTCATATGTTTCAAAATTACAAACTTTCTTCTTGAAGAAATTTTTTTATTTGCTTCAGGATATAGATTTTTTTTACTTTTTCAAATTATTAGCAAGACCTTTTTTCAAATTATCTAGTCTTATCTAAAATCTTATCTTATCAAAATCATATCAAATCTTATTAAATCATGATAAATAAGCACGATAAAATTTTATCAAGCAAAAATCATATCAACCAAGAATCTTATAAAACAAATCAATACTTTATTTAGAATAAATATGGAAATAATTGAAAATTATATTTACTGATAAGAAAATATTGAAAATGACATTGAATTGCATTAAAATAAATATTTATATAGATAAATAAAAAAACAAAAAAAATTAAAAGAAAATATAAAATGTTACAAATTAAAAAGAAATCCTATTTTTGGAAAGATGTATTGAAATTCTTAAATGCCTTTTTATTTCAGGAAACATGGGATCAATTCAATTACCACCGAGCAATGGATCTGGAGGCTTTGGTAGGAAATTTTCATTGACTTATAATTAAATACTTTTAATAAGTCTAAAAATGTATACATTATTGTTTCATAATTTTTCGATATTTTAAAAAAAGCTCATATCATTTAAAGATGGAAACGTCTAACTGTAGTTTCAATATTTTGAAAAAAAGACTTAATTTATTTGAATAAAATTTAGATCGATTGTTTTTTAATTTCCACCAATTTAAAAAAATATTTTTTTATGAAAAAAAGCTACTAAATTAATAAAAAATAGGAATGAAGTATTATAAATTAAATTTAGCATTCAGTTAAAACATTTTTTCTAAATGATTTCAGTATTTAATTTCTGATTATTCGTCTGTTTTAATTTTTTATAATATAAGCCCACACCAATTGTTCAGTCTACAGTGAACAATGAGACTTAAAAACAGTTTCCATTTTATTTCAAGGTTTGTAAAAAATAGTAATTTGTTCAAACATTAATGAATATTATAATTAAATTAAATAAAAATACTTAAATAAAATAATGCTTAAAATAATAAGTAAATTTACCTGCACAAAACAAATAGTTTCCTATTTAATTATAAAAATAGTTTTTTTTGTTATATTAATACTAGCTCATATTTTTTTGTATTATTTAAATATAAATAATTTCATTGTATTAAATAATATGGTCCTGTAATTATAAGAGATTCAAACGTTTTTAAATGAAGCAAATGAATATGAACAATGATCTAGTTTAGAAATTGTGTTAGTTTGATTCCGGATATTTAATATTAGTACTCGAACATCATTGAGCTTACTTACATTTTCCGTTTTTTTAATTTCTTTTAATTAACTTAATTGCGAGTCTACATTCAATTATTTTGCCTTCCAGACTTAAGTGGATATTCCTTACCAAATGGTGTATCTAACTTCCCATCCTCAAGTAAGTAGTATACATTCATTCAATCAAATTATACCAATGGTTTTTTAAATATGAATTATAATGTAACTCTGTGTTAATAAAAATAGATGTAAGAAGAAGGTTTATTTTTTTTCAGTTGAATTCCAAAAGTATTACTGCAAATGTTTTTGATACATCAAAATATTGTGCTTTATAATACTATTTAAATTAACTATTATTGTCTTAAAATATTGCTTCCTTTCTAATAACGTCCATGATAAAAACAATTGGACCATAAGGAAATGTAATTAATATTTTTATCAATTGAATTTATCAATAAGAACTGTTTATTAGTTATTTTTAGAGTTATATGCTCATATCTTGAGCTTAAAAATCGACGTCGTATTGCAATTTCAAATTATAAATTAGAATTCAAATTAGAAGTTTATTTCTAAATTAGAAGTTTATAAAAACTGAATTGAAAAGTACCTTTGTTATTAGAAGCACCAATTTTTAAATCCAAGAGTTACGGCTTTTATCGCGACAGGAATTTAATAAATCAGTGTAAAGCAAATTCCTTAAATTAAAAGTTTTCCATTTTTTTATAGAAAGACAAATAAAATAAAATATTAAAAGAATTCGTTTTATCTATTTTTCATCTCAGAAAAATAGTCAAAACATGAATGAATTTATTAAAATTTTTGAACTTATTTAATAACTATGTAACTGACTATGAAAATCTATGAACTATGTAATTATTATCTAAGACCTGTGAGTTATAAAAGACATTCTAATAACTATGAATTATGTAAAAACTGTCTGATAATCATGAACTACATAAAAATAGTTAACATTTGAACTTTCTAATAGCTATTAACTCTATTGTTTTCAAATATATAAAATATATAACTATGAGTTATGAGTTATCATCTACCGATATTATAAAACTATGAATTATCATCTACCGATACGATAAATGTGAAATAATACAAAAAACTATAAGTTGGAATAAATTAACCACTACATATTTCATAGTTATTTCTTTTTTATTAACAATAAATGATCTTACAATTTATTTAAATTTATTTGTTTATTTTAGGTCAACAGATCTTGAACGATACACGTAAGCACATATTTTTGATGCGCAAATACTTTAATATTCAAAATTAATAATATTATATACTTGTGAAATACATACATATTATTTGTTTGTAAATAATAAGATGCTAATATGAATAATTTTTTGTAATTATGATTAGAAAAAAATGAGGCATGCCTTAAAATCAAGAATTAAATATGTTCTCTTATTAAGCGAACTTCTAGATATTGAGTTTATTAATATATCGTAGAAAACTAAATATATCTATTAGTTGATTTACTAAAGGGGTTATCAGTTTAATTTCGAAATACCAATTTTTCGGCCAAGTGTGGCACTTTCTCTGTTGGACTTAGTTTATCACATTGTGCTGGGAATTGCATCATACAAAATGTTTTTAATATTTTTCAAGTTAATATCAAAAGAATATAATTTTAAAATACTGTCCCATGCAGGTATAATAAATAGTTAATATTAAAATTAATTAAACTTAACAAAATAAATGGTAATTCCTAAGCTGTAAAATAACTTAAGGTCATCATTAGATTCTCGAATGGTTCAAACTGCTTTTATTTTTTCCGATATTGGCCCTACATAGTATTGTCCAATTCATCCGATATTTTACAGCAGCTTTACAACCAATATCTGACCTACATAAAATTGTCAGATTCACCCGATATTTTATATTCATTATTCAACGAATATAAGTGCTATAGTGGCCTTATATAGCCCATTCTAGGACCGAAATTAAAAAAATCAGGACAACCCAATATTGGTTCCCTTAACTCCTTGGGGACGGGTGATTCAGAAAAGCATTCGTACAAAATCAGAATCAAGTTGTAATTAAATAAAAAAAGGTTACTTAAATGTAGTCGTTGCTAATTTGACAGACTTACTTTGCTTTTACTTTAATTATTGTTAGTTTAATCATATATATAAGCAATGTTAATTCAAAGTATAACTAAATAGTTTTATTTTGAACAAGTAATGGTGAATTAAATAAATCAAACAATTGTAACTCCGGCTGCAAATAAACTGCTAAAGAATTACTTTGATTACCAGTTTTATCTTTTTACCCTGGTTGATGCGGTTTTATGCTGGCACGTATTTGTGCCAGTCGGCGCGAAAGGGTTAAGACTTATTTTTATAGGACCCATATTTAACCAATTTTGAGCCCAACATTGGTAAAATTGTTGCTTGGGTTGTGTCAAAATAGAGATCAAATGTATTTACTTCCAAACTAGACCAGCTTTTCATTGTTTTTTTGTATCACACAAGGTTGCTTTATTTCTTAATATTACACATTTGAAAAATTTTGTTTAATATTAATTATAAAGAACATTTCATAAATGTTAAGTACTGCTATACAGCTGTTTTTTTCTCTTACAGCTTCTCAACTTTTCTATGTGCTTGGTAAGAAAATATTGATTTGTGAATCTTAGTTAAAATAACAATCTTATCAAAATATATTTATTATTAGAAAATACTTTTAAATAAATGTGTTTCAGACAAGATCAATACGCGTGTTATAATTTCACACGTCACATAAAAAATTTCTCCCATTTAGGAAGCGACACCCCTGGAGCTGGAGGATCATTCTCATACCAAATGTATCCAGAAGGTAATACTCATTTAACAATATACTCTGTAGCACCACATCATGCCAATTAGTTTGCTAAGTAAGCAATCCTTTTCCTAAAAAATTAAATTCAAAACAAGCCTATTTATCCAAAATATTTTCGATTCCATCTCAATCTCATTCAATAATTAATTTAAGTAATATTATTTATTATTTTTTATTCTTATTTTTTTATTCTTATTTTTTATTCTTATTTTTTATTCTAATTCACATTAACAATTTGTAGAGATACACATACAGTTGTAAAGTTGTAACAACTAATAAAAAATCAGTTCATGCTTGAGATGTTCATTATAATAGTTCTATACTAAATAAAGAAATAAAAATACTGATCATTATATGTGCCTTAAAATAATTTTTTACCATTTTGCTAAAAGTTAAAACAACTTAAACTTAAGAGCTCATAGCTCAAAAATATTTTCACTTAATCTTTTGCCACAACAGATAAAAAAAATATATTTTTCATCCGTTATAACTTTTAAAAAAATTTTATTTTGCTGGATTATCCACTCGTTACATAAATTCACTTAATCAAATTCTGTTGTATTTCAAATAATTAATATGCATCCTGTTACATCTTAATGCTTCTCAAGCTCCTGTCATGGGAGCAAGTACTGTTTTTTCTTCTTGCTTTGTTTCATCGTGGTTGCTTATCTTAAACTCTTTTTTTAATTCAATTTATTGTTAAATATACTATGTGATTACCTAATAATAACTTTGTATGATAAAAAAAAATTTATACGCTTTCAAAACATAATAACTTTAACTATCACATCTGAAAATATTTAAAAACAAGTCATTTTCTATATCCGGCAAAAGCTAATGCAAAAAATTTTATTAGAAGTAGTTGATAAAGAATTCCTATTTCAATGTTTTCCTAACGGCAGTTTTGACGAAAAGTATAGTGTAAGTATAGTCATAAATATGGTTATCCCCACTCACCAGTTACCTCCTCTTGACATTGAGGTCGTATACAAAGGAATTCTAAATAGGGGATCTTCTTGCAGATCTTTTAGAAACGTGTTAAGAAATGATTGAATATTTTTCATTGTTTTTAAGACATGAGCAATAATTAAATATTTTCTCCGAGTTCTGAAGCGTGCTTAGTCCGAACAAGGTATTTACCAAAATAAAAGATAATATGCTATTTAATAGGGAATTTAATATTTTTATTTTATATAATAATTTATTTTGTTTTATATAATCGCCTATAATTATAATAATTTTAGAAAAAAAAATAAACAATCTGGATGCGAGTTTTGTAAGAAACAACAATTTTCGGTAAACTAAAAAGGAAATAAACCTATTTGAAGAATGTGCATACATGCATATTATAAAATTAGAATTGAATTTTTTTTTAAAAATTAATTGATGAAATCAAATGAGAAAATTCATTTAATTGTTAAAAATTTTCAAATTTTGTCCTCTTATGATTTTTTTATTATTTTTCCTTATTCTTTTAAATTACTTTTAACATAAAAACGCTCGAAAAATCTAATGTTTGAAAAACGTAAGCTGTTTTTAAATGCTCATATAAAGAGTCAAAGGAGCTCAGAGGAAAACGTACTTTAATGTTTGTCCTGCAGTTCTAGGCCAAATCTTCCATTTTGGACACATGCAGGAAAAATAAAACTATTTGCTAAAATTGACCAAAATGTTTGGTTTTACTTAATATGTATAAAGATAAACTCGGTAATTAGTATTTTTTTAAGAAATTGTTTGCTTGATATAACTTTAGCTTATGAGTAATTATTAAGATGTCATCGTATCAAATTATGCCATTTTAAAAAATAAATTATCAGTCAGTTATCTTAAACCTATTTTTGTTCAGGTGGTTCTCCCGGAAATGGAGGTGGAGGTGGAGGCTCTCCCGGAGGACAAACAACATACAATATTGATTTAAGCAATTTGAGTAAGTTTCAGTTTTGTAATAGGAATTGTTAATAAATATTATTTTTCCAAATTCTTAATTATCAATGTTTCTTAGGTCCAGAACAATTGAAAAATCTGGACCCTCAGTCACTGCAGAAACTAAAGGATTACGTAAAAACTTTAAGTAAGTACATTACATTTCATTTTGATTGGATTCCTAATATGTAAAACTCGACGTTTGAAATGAATTCCAGAATTTTGAGTAAATAAGATAATTTTTAGATCTATCTAAATAAGTTATGAAAAAGATTAAACAACTAAAGTTTACTTCCTTACAGGTTCTAACAATGTATACTGCTCCTAAAAAAGACCACAAATACTCAATATTTTTAGCTAGAAATTAATTCATGCTTTTATTTAAAAAAATAAAGAATAACAATAAAAAAAATAAACCAGAGAAAATATTATATGCAGGAAGTTTAACTTAATTCAAAACAAATGGAACTTATTTAGAAAGAGCAAAACAACAAAAGCATTTTTAACTTGCTTTCTAATTTCACATTCCGAATCTATACTTTAATATTAAATACTATTGTTTGATTTTCTGCGCAAAAAAAGAAATAAGCTTACATATAATTATCACTAATAATTTTTCTTCCAATGATACATGTCCAGCTATTTATGAAACATCTAAGGAATTTCATGAGGAATATTTCTTATTTAAATTATATATGCAGTTATGGAATGAATTACTATATATCTAATCTATAAGTATTTACTAAAAATAAACTATAAGTATCAAATTAAAAATAAGATATAAAGAATTAACCAGCGCCGACCAACACCTTCCGGAAAAATGAAGGTTTCAGCACAGATTAATTATATAGTTTACATTATATATGCAGTTATGGAATAAATTACTATAACCTAAAATAGGGGAAAAAGTTAAACTTAAGTTAATTGACTTTTTTATTTTTACCTCAAGTTTAATATCAAGTATGAAAACTATTCTAGATTTCTTGATAATCTACAAAAGTATATTATTGTTTTAGGACAACATTATTTTTATAAATTAATTTATTTATCTATTTGCACATTCTAACTCACTTTTCATAACATTTACAAATTATAACAAATCAATTCTATTTGATTTATGTATTTCACTAAACAACGATTTTCAAATAATATTTACATCGTAATAATTAGTCTTACAGTAAGATAAATTTTTATTCTACAGTCATTCAAATTTTTTTTTAATTTCTGGTCATTGAATTACGTTACTGAATTAATTTTAACATTCGTCAAAAAATCCGATTTTACATTCCAACAAACTATTATTAAAAATAACATCATATACTTTATATCCACCAATAAATTGGAGCTATTTATCATTCTTAATCATTGTTGCGAAATATTATTATTGTTATTATCATCGTCACATGTGAAGAGAAATATTCTCATTAATGATGCAATAATGAGTAATGAAGCATAAATTACTGGTTTTTTAGCAATGTAGAATTCTACTTGACTGAATTTAATGATTATGAATAAATTGAATTGTGTTATAAAAAAAGTGTTAGTAATTTGAAAATTTATGATATATATAAATAATTATTTATTTCCTTTCATATATCAGATTGTTTAACTCTTGATTTAAAAGATACTTTCGCAATGTTTTTTTATAAAATGTATAATTTCAGTGTTATACATAATTGCATCCTGTATACTCTAGAATCAAGTAATAATTGTCATTCAATTGAAAAATGTTTTTTTTTAATCAAATCAAGGTTTGTGAAATTATCAGAAATCAATATCTTTTTTCGCATCAATGAGTCCCTCATATTCAATTTTGACTTTCGTGCAAGAAACTCAACGTTCAACGAGAAAGTTCAACGATAATAAATAAAATATTTATAAGCTAGTAAATGGGAAAATGCTTTTTTCAATACTGTTTCAAGGTATTTCAATTGGTACAATAGTTGCATTTAAATTTTCAGAAATCTGACTATCTTAGGTAATATAATTTGAACATCTGATGTTCAGTTTAGAGGAAGATAACTTTTAGAATTAGAATTTTTAATGAATGATATGGCCTCAAATGAAATTCTCAATGAATGAAATGAAAATCGTTATTTTCTTCTTTTGTTGAATGATATGGCCTTAAAGAAACAAAATTTGAAAAGAATATAACGATTTAATAAAATTTCTAAAAATCTAAGGAATTTTATGTTTATATTTAAAATTTGAACATTCATGCGTAGTTTAAATTCATCTCTTTCAATAAACAAATGTAAATTTTTCTCCAACTTTTCAACGAAAATTTTTTCTATAAATAATATATAGATGCTTGATAAAATAAATATAAATCTAATTAATTTTATGCTTGCATATTTATTTTATACTTTTTTTTTCTTAGGTCCATCTCAGTTGCAGAATTTAGATTTGTCGAATATCCCTGGTCTTAATCTAGGTAAATCAAAGATAATTTATTTTTTATACATTATTACGAGCACCAATATTGATTCTGGTAAAAAGATCAATTTTCAGGATTTTAAAATATAATTCCGGGTATTGCAACTAATATGCAAAAAATTAGCGACATTTGTCACCAAAATTGTATTAAAATTCTTCCTTCTAATTTCTCATATTTTAACATTACAAATTACTTAGTAAAATTCTGTTTATGGAATGTTTATACCCTGTTGAAAATATCTCTGCGAGCAGTTTAGTTTCAAGAGTTTAAAACTTAAAAAAAAGAAAAATTTATTAATAGCTTTAAAATATTGTAGATTTTCGTTTCAAGCTTTATTTTTTTGGGAATTTAGAAATAATAATTACATACTAAAATTTTTTTTCCATAATTTCTTTATAAAATACTCAATGGAGTAATAGTGATACTAAATTTATAATGTTGGGTTGTATAATAGAAAATATAATTCTGCAAGTCGTTCTCAGTCTCTTTCATCATTTAAACACAAATTGTAGAACGATTTAAAACAATATTTTAAGAAATATTATCTCCACTTTTAGGAGGTGGCAATTTGCAAGTAGGAGGAAACGCAGTAATAGTGATAAAGTAATAGTAATACTAAATTTATAATGTAGGGTTGTATAATAGAAAATATAATTCTGCAAGTCGTTCTCAGTCTCTTTCATCATTTAAACACAAATTGTAGAACGATTTAAAACAATATTTTAAGAAATATTATCTCCACTTTTAGGAGGTGGCAATTTGCAAGTAGGAGGAAACGTAGTAATAGTGATACTAAATTTATAATGTAGGGTTGTATAATAGAAAATACAATTCTGCAAGTCGTTCTCAGTCTCTTTCATCATTTAAACACAAATTGTAGAACGATTTAAAACAATATTTTAAGAAATATTATCTCCACTTTTAGAAGGTGGCAATTTGCAAGTAGGAGGAAACGTAGTAATAGTGATACTAAATTTATAATGTAGGGTTGTATAATAGAAAATATAATTCTGCAAGTCGTTCTCAGTCTCTTTCATCATTTAAACACAAATTGTAGAACGATTTAAAACAATATGTTAAGAAATATTATCTCCACTTTTAGGAGGTGGCAATTTGCAAGTAGGAGGAAATGGTGGAAATGGAGGTGGAAACGGTGGAAATGGAGGTGGAAACGGTGGAAATGGAGGTGGAAACGGTGGATATGGAGGTGGAAACGGTGGAAATGGCGGAACAACAACAATTTTAGGTAATAAGATATCTCAATTTTGTTCAAAACATGGCAAAATTTTTCATTCGATATTTTTTTAAAGCTATTAAACTAAAAGATATAACATCATCGAAATAGTGATTGATAATTGCAAAATTAATTTGGATTAATTTTGCAAAATTAAAATTAATTCGATTTTAAAATAAGTGGTAAAGATTGTGATGTAACGAAAATTTTAAAAAGGTAATAAAAAACTAAAGATTAAAAAAATCAATACTTATTTCAATGGAACTCTACACTGAAAATTAATTTCAAAACTAATTAAGTTCGAGTTAAAAAGACATCCATATTATAAAGATTTATATTTTTATATAAATAATTTTAAAATGTTGGAGCTGATGAAAAAATATTATTATTCATTACTAAAAATCATTATTATTAAAAATATTATTTTTGATAAATGTATTTCCTATTTTAGGAGGCGGAGGAGGAGGTGGAGGAGGAGGAAATGGAGGTGGTCCAACTACAATTGATTTGGGCACTCTCAATTTAAGTAAGAACTTTATTATTAAATAAGTGCTTGAAAATGCTTTAGAAAACATTGTAAATAATTTTCAAGGGTGCATATTTTCTGATAAATTTCAAATAAGAATTGAAAAAATATTTTGTTTGAAAAGGAAAAAAAAAAAGATAAGTAATGCAATTGTAATGGATATTCCATTAAAATTACATATGTGATTACTTCGCTGCAATTGCATAATCAAGCATTTTTTAAAATAATTGAAATGATTTGTAAAGGTTTTGATAACTAATCAAGTTTCAAATCACTTCTTTCAAAAAAATGAGGTACATATTTTTGTAGTTCCAATGAGTATTCCTAATCTGAGATTTAATCTAAAAGCCGAACAAACAATATTATTGAATAATCCCAAAAAAAATCCAGCACAAAATACATAGGTGATAGAAAAAATTCTTTGGGTTCATAATTGAAATTTAAACTTTAGAAAAACTTTTCCTTCATTTATGCGTAAACGTTATTGTGTTATTAGTATTTTTAATTTAAAGGAAAATAGCCTACAATTATTTTGAAAATATGCGAAGGTGATAACCAATTTCACAAAAGCTTATCATTTATTAAATGAATTATGTTAATACAAATTTCATTTTTTAATATATTATAAAAAATTCTTTTTTTTTTTCACATTTTCAGATGACTTGACTGAATCCCAACTTCAGCAATTCCCTCCACAAATCAGACAAAAATTACGTAAGTTGAATTTAAAATTTTACAAATTGTTTTTTATTTCTAAATTTCTATATAAATAAATTTACTCTGAGAGATTCTTGTCCGTGATAAAAAGTAATTTTTGATTCACGTCGCTAAAATATAATATAATTTCAATTATACTTAAGTATATTTTATGGTAATGTGGTACCTTGCTTTAGTTTATTTACGTTAGTCTGCGTCGTCAAATAAAAAACTACGGTTTTTATTTTATACGGTTTAAAAAACTACGTAAGTTGAATTCAAAATGTTACAAATTGTTTTTCATTTCTAAATTTCTATATAAATAAATTTAGTCTGAGAGATTCTTGTCCGTGATAAAAAGTAATTTTTCATTCACGTCGCTAAAATACAATATACTTTCAGTTATACTAAAGTATATTTTATGGTAATGTGGTATCTTGCTTTTGTTTATTTACGTTAGTCTGCGTCGTCAAATAAAAAACTACGGTTTTCCATTAAACCAAAGTTTTTCATGTAATTGATTAAGTCAGTTTGCTGTTAAGCTTAATTCCAAAATAATAGAAATAAATCATGCAAATCAAAAATTATTATCATGTTAAATAGATGTGCAAGTTAATAGGAATAATGACCATTAAATAACTCTATTTATTTTAAAGCATTGTAATATATAAATATCTTTTTTTCGTTTAAATTGAATAATAGGTTTAATCAATAATTTTCGTTATCTGAGTCTATTATCTTTAGTGATTTTCTATATTAAGTTTTTTTTCTTATTTTTTAAATACTTTTTTTAAAAAAATATGATTATTTCAAGAAACTATTTTAACGAAATCCTTACTGTCAATATGCATATTTAAACAACTTCTTAAAACAATAGAGTGTTATCAGCAATTAACTTTATCTTAGTTCTTTATCTGTAGTAATTAGTTTTAGTTAGCTCGAATGATTAAATTTCTAACTAATGCAGCATTCTTACATTTTCATTTAATTTCTTTAAAATATAATTATTTTAAGAAAGTTTTATAAAGAAAATGTTCATTGTTAAAAAAAATTATGCAGTAATATGTTCTTCTAAGAATTTTAAGACTTTAAAGGCTAAAAATGTTTTATTTCATTTTAGAAAACTTAGACTCTCAAACAATACAGCAACTGCAAAATGGAGGGCTTTCTTTCAGTTTTTAGTAAGTATAATATCTAATGAAAACAATATAACAACATAAAAATTTATCTTTATATAATATAGCTTATGAATGCCTTTTATTTTAAATACTTTTAAGCAATTAATGTGATAAGAAGATTTCAAAATTAATGAGCAATTTCCAGTACAAAATTGAACCCAACGTTCCAAATGTTTATTTTTTTTAATATAAATATTACTTTTTCCGATTTTATGATTTTATTTCGGCATCTTTCAAGTTTTCATCAAAATAATTCTATTATGAGTAAAAATTTCGTTTTTATTGAAAGACTTAAAAATCTGTAACTTGATGCAACTTTACTTAGAAAGTTATGAGGTCTATGACCTGTCAAAAGTAGGTTATAAAATGCATATAACATGTCTTACGAAATCTATCGCCTGTTTTTAAAATAAATTAAAAATACAAATTTTCCTTTTAGTTTTAAAAATATGTTAGATTTAATTAGCATTTGAATGTATTTATAATGAATTGTATTTATTTGTATACGATAACATTCTTATACTATTACGCAATCATTTCAATAACAATTTAATTCTACTGTCTAACTTAATTGATGCGTAAATTAATAAACTGAATTTTTCATTTTAGATAAACATGAAATAGAAGCCGTACATTTTTCTTGAGGTATATTTTTTTTAATTTCAGCTTATAATATAACAATAAAATGCATAACTTTACTATAAAACCTGTTTAAGAAAAGTCTTTAAGCTATACTTAATACATTCTCTAATGAATGCAATAAAAAATCTAAAATAGCTACATAAGTGACTCAAAGCTCTTCATAAATCATTCCTAATTGTTTATTTTTTATTTTTCTTCCATTGTCAAGTGTTATTGAGAAATCTATACGATATTCAATAATTATCTATTATTAAATCAATTGGAGTGAATACTTTATGTTAAGAAATTTTCAAGCTTTGCTATTTATAAAAAGCAAAATTAAAATTAAAAAAAATATATTAAAATTTAAAGCGGTAGTAGACAAATTCAACTTTTGAAAATGTATAATTTCACCATTTCTGATTAATCATAGCTTTTCATGATGGATTAAAGATGAAAGTTCCTGGAATAAAATAGAAATAAAACAAAATAATAAAAAAAAACTAGCGTTCAACTAAATAGTTTGTCCAATGTTTTGGTCGATGATGTATATACACACTGCTTAATTTCTAAGTGAAATATAATTTTCCACTTGGAGAGCCATCTTTGTTACTCAAACAATGTAATTTAAGCATATTTTGCAATAATTAAAACAATACAACATTTTATAAAATTTCCACGCTTCGCCTGTAATTATTTAAAATGTATATTGTTATCAATACGACACACTAAGAAATTTCTGATAAAATTGCGGTAGAAAGTAAAGCTGCCAATCACTCAAGATAACAAGATCTTTAACCATAAATTTCAATTTATAATTAAGATTTACAGAACAAAACAGAATCTAATATGGCGTCTCTTTTACAATATTTTTTTTCTGTAAAATCACTGTAATTTAATAAATATAACTGTTTAGATATGGTATTGAAACTTGCAATAAAAGTAGATTTTACAGTAAAATGTATTTTATGGATGCCGCACTCAGGGTGCAAGTACTTTTTATAGTAATTTTATTCGGAATGTTTAATAATGATCGGATGCATACATTTAGTATTGTCGCCAATTTCTTCTAAAATTAGGCGAGGTGGATTAAATATTGGCTACTACTTGCTTTAGATATGGTATTGAAACTTGCAATAAAAGTAGATTTTACTGTAAAATGTATTTTACGGATGCTGCACTCAGGGTGCAAGTACTTTTTATAGTAATTTTATTCGGCATGTTTTATAATGATCGGTCGCATACATTTAGTATTGTCGCCAATTTCTTCTAAAATTAGGCCAAGTGGATTTAATATTGGCTATAAGCCAAACATGCAACGTGTGCACTGTAATAATTTTCTGAAATATCTTCTATGCTGTGAAATTACGGTAAGATAACCAGCAGTCGTCTTTCTATCCGATTAATCATAAAGTTTACGGTTAATACAAAGGATAATATTCGGTTTTGTAACCATTTACGACGTGCATAGTTTCTGAACCATAAAAAGGAAACTGAAAAAGAAGAAGAAGAGTGCAGAATAGAATGAATGATAGAAGAGTGCAGAACTTCTGGAATCTCTTCTTGTATTAAAGGTATGAAAGAAACATTGTGGTATCAACAAAGGGATTCGAACACCTATTCAACTGGCCAGAAGACTGACCAATTAGCCCTCTCAGCTTTAGTATGTACCGAGATGCACGAAATAAATAGCTTCTTAGGGTGGGCCTAGTTGGCGTAAATAGAATTCTGGTTGTTAAACTGTATTAGGTATAAACAATCAGTAAAAACGTTCTTTTCTTACATTTAACATTTTGAAAACCATGTTTTTATGGTTATTGGATTATTTTGGCTGAGAATGGTAAAATGACAGTTAAATAAATTGCTATATAATCATTTCTGCCGAGAAATTTCTAATAGTTTAAATCTAAAAAGATTTAAACCATTCATAGATAAAATTCATCTCTTTGGTGTTTTAGGGATAGTTGTATCAAACAGTGGTTGCTGAACTCTTCATCCAAGAAAGTAAAACCCTAATAAAAAGTTGATAAGCAATTGTCCATAAAAAAATAATAAGAAATTGTCTTAGTATTGCAAGAGGAATATGGAGTAAAACTCAAACCACTATTTATTAAGTTAATCAATGAAAATAATCTGAAATGATACATAATCTAATATTATACTTTATTTTTTATATATTACAATATAGTAATTTATACACGAAATTTTATCAAATGCGCACTCAAGATTTTATTGGTTACTGGTTATTTTGCATATTCTGAATCTGTTTTTCTTTTTCAGGAAATACAGCTGTTACTTAAAAGAAGAAAAAAGTTTGTGTTTTGTGAAAAAAAAATACAAACAATTACAAAAAAGAACAGTAAATTCCATTGATGAAAATTACAAGCATAATGTATATTTGATTTCAAAATGAACTTTTTAAACATCATATTTCCTCGATTTGTGTGCTTGATTCAAGTAATTATGTAACTAGGAGAAGGAATAAAAATTAAATCTGAACTGTGTTTCGATTTTTAATTTAAACGATTTTTATGCCATACACAAATTTTTTATATTCCCTTATTGCTATAAAATTAAGATATCATTCAGATACAGAATTTGTTTTCTATATCGAACAAAAATGGTTCATCATTTAACTTAAGGATTATGCAGTGACAAACATGCGAGACGTCATTTTGATTTGGATAATTTCTTACCGAAGACACTAAAAAGAGCACCTAATCTAAGACCAGATAAGGCATAGAAAGCCAATCTAATGGTACCTAACATTAACGTGAAAATAATTGGGTAACAGAAGAAAACCCTAACAAATATTTTAATATATTAAGGAACCTACGACGGAAAAGGTTTATATGTTAAGTTGAAAGTAGCCTAAATAAAAGAATATTTGTATAGACTTTGATTCTCGATTCCTTAATAATGCGTTGCTCATTTACTATAAAACATCTTTATATGAATTATGCCGTACCAAAAAATCTTATATTATAGCGCTATATATGTTCTCTACTTACTGAGCTTTCTAAAAAATTAGTGTTATTTTATATATATATTTTTATATATATATTTTATATATATATATGATTCGACATGATTTTCAGCAATATATTTATAAATAATTCGAGTTCTACATATAATAATATTAAATCTGTTTTAAATGAATGATGTGGTGTAGTAAATTACAAAAAAGTGTCGACATGTATATCTAGAAATTTGCGTTTATATAAGCTTCATTCTTACTACGGAAGTTTCCCAAGTGATATTTCTGGATTTTGAAAAAAGTGATCTTGTTTTGGGGAGCAATGATTCCAGTGGAACAACCCATTCGTGGTCAATAGTTTTTTGAGATGATCGCTAATGAAAAAGGGCAAATTCTATGAAGGGACCATTGTCTCATAGGATTCCTCTTTCATCTTTGTTCTCCCGTACGCTGAAAGAACCGGGAGTGGCTTTGCAAATTTTTGAATAATTTACTTTTTCCGTCACTTCAGAAACATTAGCATAAGAGAGGTTAAAGAAGAGGTTTTTTCCCTGCTATTCTACATACATCAAAGCTTAACCCAGTCCCGCCCCCGTTAGGGGGCATCCGGAGAATACTGTAGGCTCTAAGTACGCGTACGTGACCTCTCAGAAAAGAAAAAGAGGATTCAAAAAGGTAGGCTTGGTGGCGATCCATGGCAACACCAGAAGGCCTCAAAGAATTTAGTGAAATCTTAGAATTAACAATAGTAGTTACTCAGAAAATAGAATTTAGGAGTTTGAGTGTTCAAACATAATAAGCGAGTCATCAATTAAAAAAATAAATAAGAAAACATTGAAAAAAGGTAACAAACATATTGTGATGATGAAAAGTAGCAGAATTTGTCCAAAGCCCATGAAAACAAATACAATTTCAAAAAGAAGAGTTACGGCGAGGCAGCCGTAAAGAAAAATCAATAAGCAAGAGGAGACTCAAAACATGAATAGTTAGAAAATTTGACAAAATTTTGAACAATAAATCAATCAAAAATTTGAAAATCATTTCTGAAGAACACAAATACAGTATTTGCGAAGGTTACAAGATAAAAATAAATAAATAAGTAAAAAATAAATAAATGTATATGAAAAATTAATAATAATAATAATAATGATATTAGCATACAGAAAATTGTTAACAGTGAGATACAATTAATGCATTACATGAAATGTAGAGCTCGTTAATTGTAAAGCACACATTTTTTGACGCCATCTAGTCAATACCTCCTAGAGAGGAATCAAGCCCCACAACGGGTTACTATAGGCGATGATGACGTAGTAGAGTTAGGCCCAGAGGAAAACCAGTCAGGGTAGCTATTTTTTCGAAAAAATCCGAATCTGATCAAACGAGCCATTGGCGATATTCTGAAGTATTCAAGTTCCCTTGTTAGGAAAAGGCGTTCCATTATTTTAATAATTCCCCGTTTGACTTTCTTCTCCTTCCAAAATAATTTATGTCGGGTGTAATTTAAATGTTTGTCGAAGGTCTTGAAATTTACTGCAATTTATTAAAATATGTTCCAGATTTTCAAAAGTATTGCAGGAGTCACAGAGTACTTCCTTGCCAAAAAATCTAGCCCCTTGATTTGTGAGAAATTGATTAAGAAAAAAATTTGCTATTATTTGGTTAGTATTAACTTTTGGAATTCCACTTACATATGTGATCATACTCTTTAGAAGGTATAACACGATAGCTGTTCGCATTTCTTCCTGATAAGTAAATGAGCTGTTATTTTATACTGTGTTTCTTCTTTTTTGGTTCATGAAGGTAAATTTTGGACTTGAGGGAAAAGATAGAAGAATAAGGATGCTTTTATCGAAACATTTGCAATTCATATAAACACTTAAATTGACAAGACCTAACTTCCCCTCTCGTCTTCTGGGTCAATATGAAGACACGAGCGGGGTATATGGGATACTTTCCCTCGGCGCTCAACTATAATGAATTCTAGTAGCTGTTACGGCTCGCGTTCCAGGCGTGCTGGTTCAAGAGAGGTGGCTCGCACCCCTGTGACATACGAAGACGGGTGCAGTTCTGAGGATGTTGCCCATCAGTCTTCAGACCGTAATGTGATCATCGACAACTTTTGTATTTATTAAAAGAGATTTAGCTAAACATTTTGAAGAACCCACGATGAAAGATCCAATATTTCAAGAAAAGCCCTTAATCTTTCAGTTTAGCAGTTTAGATGTATAGATATATCGATAGAAAGTCACCCTTCTGACAACGACTTAGACAATGGCGTAGTTCAGGAAGATCCAATCTTTGAAGAGGAAGAACCTCCAAGGAAAAAATAAGTTAAGGATCAATCCAGCAAACAATCAGTGTCAGAAGAAATAATAAGAAGGGCAGTGAATGCACATGATACTGTAACAAGAAATAAATTACGGGCTGCGCACATTATTGTAGAAAAGTCCCACACTATTAAGTAATTGAAACTTGAAAAAAATATTTAAAAAAGCTGGGATATGTTACAGAAAATAAAAATATTAAAAAATCATATATGAGGTCACAATTTCTTTTCCATCGTACGCCATTAAAAATCGCTGTGCATAATTGATATTTGAAAATGTGTGTTCTGAATAAAGCGCTCCAGTACAAATTTTAAGGTAAATTTAAAAATTGAACAAGGAATTACCAGTCTCAATTTCACGCATTTATTAACGCAAAAGAATTTTTTTCTTGAGATATCTCTTGAGCCTATAACACGAGAATTTCAGGAAAAATTTGAAATAATGATTGAACAGAATAAGTACACCCTCTCCTGCATCCTTAATACAGATCAAAGTGGTTTTCAGAATAAGATTTTGTCACACAAAAAAACAACACTAGATATAAAAGTTTCTAAAAATTTTGCAACATGCAATATCGGTTAGTAGTAAATCCAAGCGTCGTGCTCTTATACTTTACAAATGGCCTTTAGAGCAGATGACAATTTTGCAGGTGTTTTACAAAGGATTATTTGGACTCTGATTTAAGACAAATTTATAAGAAATGTCATACCTAAACATCTAAATATCATTTATTAAGTCAGGGAAAATTACGAAAGCTATAAGTGGAAAGTACTTGCAAAAATTAAAATAGCTCATCGGCGAAAATAGAACAAAACTTGTGCTGGGTAAGTGGGTGGATCAAACAGGTGAAACTTCATGGATTTCCGAAATGAGATTGTATGTACAACTTGTTTATCTTCCCTAAACATCATTCTAATACCCAAAAATTCAATCTCCTTCTAAGTTCTTACATGTATTAAAAATATAGCTTATCAGCGTAAGATGGTATCCATAACTTTTGCACTCTCACACTTGACTTCAGATCAGTGCTGGATATTTTTCAGATAATGGCATAGTTAACTTTTCACTCGCAATGATTGATTTTACTGACCACCCACTGGTCTCGTGACTGAGTAAAAAAGTGAAATAATGAAAAAAATGATCAATAGACATCCAAAAAAAGGACGAATTATTACCTAACGCTTTAATAGCAATCAACACTACGCGACAAAATATTTACTAAAAGTGTCCCATTTTAATTGCTTCATGAATATGAACCACGCCTTTTACTTGAACTGTACATTGCAAGTTTCATCTATGAGATGTCACGTGCAGATGAACTTGACATTCTTGCTTGAGCCAGGCCAGAAATAATGTGTACGAAACACATTCAGATAATAAGCGCTGATAAGATCTTCATCGTCGATAGCATTTATTTAATGCAGGAGATCTCGTCTTGTACTATTGGCCTAAACAAAGAGATCATGAGCTTTCTCCCATTTATAGAAAGACTTTGACAAAATCTGCCGTAGAAACTTTTATGTTCACTTTTCTATGTGATTTAATGTGATTCAATGAGATGATGATTTATATATCTGAGTTTATCATGGAGCGTTCACAAAACTATTCACAAAAGTAAGGTTCACAAAACTATGATTACATCGCATTGCAGAAATATGCTAAATAAGTACAGGACATGTGTCAGCAGAATACATAGAACGCTTAGCTTGTAAATCATTGTCATTGTTTGTTATTTAGTGTTTTTTTTATAGATAATATCTTCTCGTCTCTGAATTAGGTTTTTCTCTGAATTAAATTTCTTCTAAACTAGATTCCTTGTTATCCAACCTTACCATATATATGTGAGGAAAGAAATAGAGAAAATTTGTTTTCTTGCACATGTATTTTCCTGGGTGCAAATTTCAACTATCATTAGAAATATAGTTTACTTTTTAAATACTTATTTACAGAATTTTTACATAAAAAAAGTATTTGCTTACAGATAAAACATTTTAAAGAAACAATGCATCAACGTATGATTGAAAAGCAGCTAACTTAGAAAGAAAAGTACCCACAAATTTGATGCCAAGTAAGGCGAATAAAGACATACATAATACAACACTATTGAAATAATTTATTCAAATACATTGTATAGTTAGAATACACATTCTTGTAGAATCCATGAAATCCTGAAAAAATAAGACATTTAAAATAAAATTTCTGTATTATATGTTTCTTGCATAAACATAATGTTGTAATAATGGAGTTCTGCGTTATTGATAAAATTATAATTATTGTGTTATTTTTCAACCAAAAATTAGATATCATTGTGAAACTACATAAAGAACTCATCACAATTATTTTGCAAAAATTTTTTTATCAAATATAATACTGCAATTAACTAAGTATTCATTAATAAACTAATACATTCTTTTCATAAATATTTAAAATCAAAAACTCACATTAATAATCATTAAATTAATAAAAAAAAAATAGTTAAAATTTGTGAACTAAGTATTGCACTTAAAATGTTTCATTACTAGTGTTTATTTTTGTATAAAATTCCTTTCACATTTTCGTAATTTTAGAAATTTTGAAGTTCAATTTTAAACACTACGAATCGTATGGATTTCCTTAAACTACAGTATTTATGATTATTGTAAGCATTATTAATTGCAAGCATCGAATTGTAATGGTCATTTTTTGCAAGCTTGTATATTTTTGGTGTTTATTATATATATTTTTGAATTATAGATATTATGCATTATCATTAATTCTGATCCTAATATTTGTTGAATAGATTTTGTATAAGTGTAATCCTTATACAAGTACGCCCCTTTACTCAGTATATAATGTGTATGACCCTCATTTTTTGTTGATTAAATAATTACTTAACCTTATGTAATAATACAATGTAACGCAGGATGTAATTTTATATAAATTATTATTTCTTAAAAAAAATATTTATTACTTTATCTTACTTTAAGTGCTCATGCTTGATGTCATTGAGTCTATAGATAAAACAATGAAATTATATTTCTAAACTGAAATATTATCAAATTTCATGTTTAAGCATGATTCGCATTTTGCAGATATATAGAAAGAAAATAATTTTAAAACGCTGTTATTTTATTATATTATATAAATTAGAAAAAATACCTACCAGAACACTTGTCACTGTCAGCTAAAAGTTGGGAATATATAATTAAAACAAACTATGTTTTAATAGTTAGAAAGTATTGAGCATAAAGCAAAGTTATGTTTCTTTTTTCAGTTCCGATACAATATTTACTTATATTTTGAAGCCAATTTATACCACAATCCAAACAATCATTGAAAAAGCAATTAAGTTTTAAAGCATTGGAAATTTTTCCAATATCTCTAGAAAGAATTAAAAACGACTGTAAAAAAATCTTCCCATTTATCTTCTTCTCATTTATTTTTTTACATGTTTATGGAATGAAACCTTCAAGAAAGACGTATAACGTATGAAAGACGTTTTTTTTTTTAAAAAAAAAAAAAGACTATGTGTGACGACCTCCTCTGCAAACAATTTGGGATGGAGCGGAATTTTTTTCAGAAACATTGCTTTAAAGAAAACCTTTAGAAGGGACCATCAAATCCTTTCCCAGCGACTGGGCAAACATTAGCATCAAATTCGGAAAAGGCCATATAAGGAAACACAAAAATATATCAAAACAAAAAATATTAGCAAAACAAATAAGTAGATTCAAAAATATTCCAAATAATTCTGATTGGCTTTTACTTAGAGAGCTCTTTTTGACGATCTCTGAATTAGATCGACTACTTCCTGTTGCAGTCAGAGAGCACTAAAGGCGAAGCTCTAAAATGATTTATTTTTAGAGTTGAAAGTTCAATTAGAAAAAGAAGTTACTTTAAAACTAAGCTTTTCAATTAATCAAACCTTTTCTAATTCTTTGAAGCTAACTTATTTTTATGATATAAAATTAAATACCAACCTAAACAAAAACATAATTGCTTATTTATTAAAAATAGTTCAATCTTTTAAAATTGGTAAATTTGTTTTGACACATAATTGTAAAGGTACAGTAAAGGTAATTTTCATTGACTCTAAATTTTATTCATCGATCAGGTTTTCATGAAGCTAGCATAAGTGGCATTTCTGCATCAATAAAATGACAATGAGTAAAATTAAAATTGTATGCAAAAATCATGTACTTTCCATAACATTTAAGTCAATGAAATCAATTCCTAAGAATGACCAACCTCTATTAGCAACCATTTTTTTGTGAAGCATAGAGTGGTTGCTCCAGAGGGGTTTCACTATACTAAAAATTCATGAATATGCGAGTTTATACAGATTTTTTAAGCATATATGAGGCTGTTAGCTGAAGTTCCAATTACATAAAAAAAAATTATTTTAAAAAATGGCTTTAGAAAAATTATTTAGAAATTTTTTAAAAGAAAAAAAAGGAATAGTGCTAAATAACCATTTTTAGAAACTTTCTATTGACTATCTAATTAGTTATAGCAAATGAGAAAAAAATATTCCTTGTTATTATAAAGAGAATGGATTAAAGAATAAAAAATCAAATTTTAAAGTTCTATTAATACGCAATAATTTTTCATGAAATTTGAAAATGTCTTTCTTATTGTTACATCCTCACTGCAAATGAAGTCTAAAATTTCCAGACTCAGATTTTGTGCACTTTATATTTCAGGTTGATAGCAGTTGGAGATAGCAGCGAAATTCGACAAAAAATTTTCAGTCTGACGCAATACGTCAAATGCTTTTCTCGCAAAATGTAATTCTGCTACTCGTGAATAATTACAATAGAATAAACGGAATAAAAGTAAAAATATTTTGTCGGGTATTTTTATCGACATTACTTATAGCAATAATATTATAATATACATTCGTTCTAATTGTGTACATGAGTAAATCAACTGTTCGTCATTTGTTAAATGTAAACTTATAGAATGAATGATTTAGGAAATAATTTTCAATCAATCCGGTTCAATCCGGATTTTCCAGCAACACTGGGACTCAAATACTTTTTTTTCAGAATGATGGTGAATAATGGGAATAGCAGCAGAATAGTGGATCAATATGAGGAAATTCACTAACCATTTGTCAAATATATCGAACTATTTGTCCATAACCAATAAACTAAGAAGTTTTTACAAAAAAATACTTTAAGCTTCTAAACTGTTGGCATCCATAAGATAAGCAAAATATGTTTCCTGTTCATAATAAATTTATTGCTTGCCTGAGAAATAAGTTCTCAGAAACAGCTGTGTAAGTAAAATTAATTGATTGATTTTTTTCCCCTGGAGCATCGTTGATAATATATAAAATACAATCTATATTTTAGTTTTTAAAATCTCTCGAAAAATTCACGACAGTTATATGAAATACAAAATTTTTAATCGTTTGTTTGGGGTAAGTTTATCATAGTTTATTTTTAAAAAAGCACGTAACACGTTAAGAATAAAAACGAACAACTTGTGTGGCTGCATTCATACATTGAAAATTGGGAAGGTTTATTCAGATTATGTTGGAAAAGGGAAGTAAATTTGAAATTTTTGTTTCGTTGTCAAAAAGCAAACTTTAAAACAAGGAAAGTCACCTTTTCTTGCAAAAAAAAATTAACAATAGATGTCGCATAAATCAATGCTTTTAATTGTATTTATTAATTAGCCTAATAAATACATCAATCAATATATTAATCAATACAAAACTTTATAAATTGTATGGAATTATTAATTCTATTAGAAATATTGGAAATTTTTAAATAATTTTTAACAATTAATAATGTATCAAACTTACCGCAGAGTAAACCCATTACAGCTTCAAAACGAAATATTCGTTTATTGATATTATGCATATATTGTATACAAATAATTGCATATTAATCACATAGTTAATTAAAAAAACACAACATATAACTAATTTGATTAAAAAATACATTCACTTTAAAAATATCAAGAATCATTATCAAGAATTCAAAAAATCATCCATTGCTGCGCATTGTTGGAATCTTGAGCAGAAATTCAATTTGGAAAATATCAAAATTATCTTTATTTTAGTAACATCAGCTTATATTGATATCATGTAATTTTTTTTTATTCATTCTTGTTAATAGCATTAGTCCCTCATCACCTATCAATAGTGTATGAAAATTCTCTTTTCCCGTTTTTGTCCTCTTGGCCACTGAGGTTTTTCTTGATCAAGTTTTTCAAGTTTTGTTTCTCAAACTTATTTTTTCATTTTTCGTGGGAAGCCTTACGTTTTGTATTTCAAATCACTTTTGTTTCTTTTCATTTACGTCTGACAAGTCTTGAAAATAGACACCTGTTTTTACGCGCTTGAAACTTGCCGACTGCTACTATTTCCAATTTGTATATTTTTGAAGCAAATGAGGTTTTTAATAAAGTAATATCTAGCCACTTCAGTTTCCTGGGGCTATTTATTAAATACTATAAAGTTGTTGTTATGTAGAATATATTTACTACGAAGATTACACACTAAGAAACAAAGTCATTTATATTTAATTCCTAAGAAGTGTACCCAGTAATGCCTCACACAACAAACCTTCCGAAACACTTACGTAAAACCCATTTCATTAAAAAAACATCAATATTAATTTCAAATTGAACTATTTTTGCTTTTCTGAATTTATAAATAGGGTACAAACATTTTGACGTTGGAAATTACTATATATATATATATA